TACTTTAGCATAGAAATTTTTTAGATGTTGGTTATTTGACCTAGTCACAACAATACAAATTAGTTTTTGCTTGCTAGCTAAGGCTTACTACGTAGGTAACGAACAAGTTTCTATACCAAGCTACAAAATTCTATGATAAGCATTACCAATTACTATTACCAAGCTGAATTCAAACCCATTCCTATTTCATGTTTTACTGACTTACCTTGACATTAAGTATTTGTCATTTACCTCAAACACATGGGTCACTTACAACTGTAGTGTTTCTCATCTATACCAAACTGAATTCATTACAATTTTTATCCATAATCTTCATATTCACTTGAACCACAGTTTGTGTAACAAAACTAAATACATTGGTTTTGTCAAATGCAGTGGACACATTATTAAGGTCTCCTTGTGGGGAAGAACAATGACTCAGCTGGATAGTATTATTGACCCTACAGGAAATGCAACTACGGTTGTCGTAGCTACGTCTTTGTTCGTCAAAATATGGAATAGTAAGTAGTAATTCGGTTGTACTTTGTTTTAATTTTTTTGCCATCCCCATGTTGCTCTCTTCATCTTTACAACATATTGTGCATTTCACTTCTGACGTTATACTTTTCTTCAGTTACTTATTCTAAACCCCTTTCTTTGCATAGCAATTCTATTTATCATCGTCAAGTGCCACAAGACTGTATGCCAATCTGAATATTCCAGAAGTTGTTGCTGAACAAGAACGGTAATGCATATATTATTCCGTAATTATTTATTTTTCTAATGCTTTATATTTGCAATGGGGTCTAAGTTTACTTTGCCGATTCTGTTAGGCTTCCTCGAAACAATGCACCACAGTTTATTGCTGCTGCCCGAGCTCCAATAGTCATTCCAAATGTTACCATTGAAGAGTTGTTGGCAATGAGATGCGGAAACAAAGAACAGGTCATTAACCATTCCATAACACAACTTCATGAATTAAATTTTCCAAACCCAATACTATTGGACAGAAAACTTTGGAATTGGATTGTTGATGACTTGATATATACACATGTTTTTATCCACCATTCTTATGTCATTTGAGCCTCATTTCTCGTATCTTAGGCCGATTTCACGCTAGGTTGTTCTCGTTTGTGTTATTTTAGGTCCTAGTACGTGATTGGAGGTTTGGGAGCGAGTTTCGGGTCGATTGGACGAAAGTTGGACGTCTGGCGAGAAGCCGAGGAATCCACACGGCCGTGTGGTGTGTCCGTGTGGAATCCCATTACGCGGCCAAGCCACACTGGCCGTGTATTGGGACCCTTGTGGTCGTGTGGAAATTCTAGGGAGCTCACACGGTCAGGCTAAGAATCCACACGGCCGTGCACTTCTGGCCGTGCAGCGTGCCTGAAGCTCATTATATGGAACGCCGCGTTTTAGCACTCACACGGGCATACTGGGAAGACACACGGTCGTGAGGCCTGGCCGTGTGGTCGGAAAATTCTGGGTTTTAACCCAATTTCGAGCCTAAGGAGGGGGGATCGATTTTCTGGAGCAAAAACAGAGCCATAGAGAGAGAAAGTACGAAGAACACCCCCCTAAGAGTGATTTTGGAGCTGGGTTTCATCAATCAAGCTTGGAAATCATCCTTGGAGTGAAGATCATCATCCCAAAGTAGATTCTTCCCATCTTGATGAGTATGACTGCTTTGTTTGATGTTTTCCTCTCTCTCTCTATGGAGTAGAACCCTCTCTCACTTGGGTATGAAGAACCCTTGTTCTATGTGTTAGGGATCATTGATGTAACAACGTTTGGATTGTGATATGGTTTGATTATAATCGATTGAAGTGTTTTGATTGAGTCAATTGAAGCCTGATCATCTTGTATTGACTTCTGCTGCAACCTGAGATAGATAGGATCTGATTAGGTTGTTAGAGCTTCTTTAATCGGTAGTAGTGAATCGATTATACGAGAGTTAGTCCATTTACTGCTTTGTACTGGAATTTAGTTTCAGTAGTGGAGTTCTGTGTTCATTGCCTCAGCTTTCTATCCCGGTGAAGACTAGTCGTCTGCCGGGTAGTTTGACTGAGAGGGCTTGGTCAGCTTAAGAGATTCCAAGCTATTGTCGGATCTTCCGCAGTATAATCAACAGTAAAGCAACCAAAAGTAATTACAACTGTGACCTAACTAAGGAGCTAGGGGGACTCATTCCCGACTGACTCTTCCCTTGCTTAAAGAAACCGAACAATTTCTTGCTTTCTTACTGCTTTTAGTTAAAATCACAATCACTCGACTTAGTTTGTTAGATAATAAATAATCATGGAGTAGGCAGTAGATCTAGACCCCGGGTTGACAAATAGAGCTTGCCCCTTACTGCATTTCCGGACTGCGATTACACTTCGTCGCAGTTTGGTGTTGTGTTTTAGCGTGTCAACTGTGTTGTTTCAAGCATCAAAGAAAATTGGTATTACAACGGATGCGCTACTGCAAACTGTCGCCGTTTGGTTCAATAAGAAGCTGATGATTTCTTCTGTGGAAAATGCAAAACAACGACAAAGGAATCTGTGAAACGGTATGCATTTCTAACCAAAATGCTTTACAAATGATATCGCTTCTCTTTCATAGGACCAATTGTTCTTGGAAGTATATAACCAACTCTTTTTTGTTAGAGTGAAAAGGAAAGCAAAGCCTGTATATAGGTTTGTCGTCAATGACTTTATGGCACAAAATAGATATAATAGTTAGGAAATTATTTGGATGGTTAATATACATGTTGGTTATCAACAAAAGTACATAGCTATATCAGAGTTGTTACATATAATATTTCCCAAAGCAGCTGAATCTCACTGTATTTGGATGTGCATCTGAATTTGTGTTTTGTAATTACTTTTCACAAACGCTTTATATGGAACCCTTTCTATATCAATGCGTAAGTGTTCCTGGTTAGGTTCTGAGATAGTTTCCTTGCACAATAACCTTTTCCCAAAAGATTAAAGACCTTTAGCAATCGATCTGTATTCATTGTTAATTAACTGTTTTGCACATTGCTTACAGATTTCGGATTGTCATAGCCGTTTGTGACCAGACGGACTCAACCGAACTGGTTTTGCTTGATCACACTGCTAAAAAACATTTTGGCATTTCCGCCCAAAAACTGTTTACTCAGACAGAAGGTGATGTTAGTGCCCCACCTACAAAATTACTTGAGCTTCAAGGAAACCAACTCAAGCTGCATGTACGGATTAGTGACTACGACTTTGCCAACCCTTCCAGTAGGCTTACTATCATGAGTATTCTAGAAGCGAAAGAAACTACTAGAAGAACTCAAACTGCTGTCAAGGAAAATGAGGTTTTTTATTGAAAATCATTAATAATATCTTAATGTGCTTTCTTTCTTATGCTACTGCTACTCCTTTGTCAATTTTTTAAAACTTAATTGGTCTTATGGCTTTATGTAGGCTGACATCCAAAGCACCCATTCGTCTAGCCTATCTTTGACTATCATTGGATCCCCGCCAAGATCACCAACACAAGTATCACCTAACAACATTGCGTCCGAGGTGCTGACTCCAAAAGATGGTCTGGTCAAGGGAACACCTACCACTAACTCCAAACGAAAGCACGGCGCCATTGTTGAGTGCGATGAGTAGGACGAAGTCTCTTCTACTCTACCCTATCACCACCCATCATTCCCAACTAGCATTTCCCTTTTATTTCTTTTGTATCACTTACTATGGTGAGAACATAGACAGATCTAATAGTCATAGACTTAAGCTTGTTTCCCTTTTGCACCTCTTTGTTGGCTGCATATGTTACAAACAGCCTACTATGAATGACGGTGCTGATAACAATGGATTGCACATATTATATACTCCTGGTGTGTTTAATTTGCAACAGACAATTAGTGATTTTATGTAATTATATTTATGAGCTCGGTAGATCCTTTTGTGAATGTATATTTGATAGTTTGATTACAAGTATTGGCGGTTAATGTTGAGTATGCAAGCTACACATGGCGTTACATTCGCATATTTCATACATCACCTTCCTCCGGCCAACGGGCCGGGTTAGACGCTAGTATTTTAAAAGAGCACGAAGAACCTCATGTTCTTGGTACACGATACACATCATGTTCTAATTTAGTGGGTATATTTTGGAAGATTTTCATTTAATTCAATTATAAATGTGTTCCAAACATAATTTGGGATATTATTCCAAACATAGGAATTCATTTGAAAATGAATTTCACATAGTAATTAATTTCGAATTAAAATGAGTTATTGATTAATTTGGTTTCAAATAGTATAAGATGAAAATGATATCTAATAAAAAGAAAAAAGTTAGGTAAAAGAGAAAAAAGTAAAGGACTAATATAAAAGTATTAAAAATTAATTGTGAGTATGCACCTTATTAATAAAAAGATAAAATTTTATAGTTGAAATGATGAGAAATTAGATATTGAAAACTGGTGGAAATAATATTTGTTGTTTTAAAAAAAACGATAGAAAGCTACCATTTTTTTTATCTAGAGTTGGAAATGAAGTAAATAGATTTTTTCAATTCCATTGCTAGATTTATGAAATGAAAACATATAAAAAGGAAAAAATGTAAGTGAACAGTACCTTGACATACCCAACTTCCGGTCAAGATGAGATGTTGAAGGGGTTAGCAGCAGGTGTAGCACGAGCAAAAGAGTAGGTGGCTGACAAAAATGTGAATGGATTAAGTCCAAGTGGCGTTGGTTTTTCTGCCATTTCCAATTTTCAGGAGTAGCGATAAGTCGCTCTCTCTAGTCTCTTCGCATTACTTTTATAATCTTCGGAGCCAAAGCTCCCAGCTCTACAAGTGAAAAGATCAATTCTGCTCCTCGGCTGTACCTTACTCTCCTCCATGGAAACAGGAACCCGAAGACGAAAGCAAAGGGAACCCATCCCTTGAAACCTCTCTCTTTAGTCTTTACCTGCTCCAATATTAGATGCTCGTTCCTGCATCTGAGTTACTCACTTTCTTCTTTAACTGAACTTGGGGGGAGCTATCTCTCAATGAATTCTGGATTAATGTACTCCGTCTCTTCTCCTTCCTCAGCTTCCACATCTACAGCTACTGCTGCTTTGACTCATCGGAATTCCAGATTCCCCATGTGAGTCTCCTCTCCATTTTTTGTCGGTTGCTCCTCTTTCAGTAAGCGAGCGATTTGCATTCGGAAAGCTGCTTTCGTTGCTTTTATGTTCTGCCTGAAATGGGTCTTCCAGAAAATGACCTAATATTAAAAAAATGTAATCATCTTTGCTCTGTAATTTGATAATAGAATTTTATGTAGCTTTTGGTCAGGATTTCTCTGGTTACTAAAACACTTAGATGTTTTTAATATTCTTTTCTTGAGGTTCTTGAAATATAATAACACTTAATGTCCTTTTAGATTAAACAACCTTTCTTCCGCACGTTCATGGCTTTTCTTGGTCAAGTCGCCGGATTAAGATATAATTTATGTCCCCGTTACGCTTAAATGATTGATCTTTTGATTGGAACTCATCACTGCTCCTTTTAATCGCAGGCTACTGCCACGGCCAATTTCATCATCTCTAAGGTTGCAGTGTTGTTCTGCATTCCATGTGGATGCTTCTCTTAATTCCTATCCCTCTAAAACTCATGCTGTATCGAAGTGTTCTTTGAGATTGTCTGGAGAACAATATTTATGCTCTCAGCAACAACATGATAAATGTGCGTGGCCCTTGAGAGCTTTGGTGACCTCAACGGCACAAGATATTCCCATAACATCTCTAATTGCCAACGAGAAGGTGGGAGTTTTGTTGCTCAATCTTGGAGGTCCAGAGACTCTTGATGACGTGCAGCCTTTCCTATTTAACCTCTTTGCCGACCCTGTAAGATTATGTCTCTGCCTCCGCTCTTCCATTTTTATTTGACAACATTCTCGGGCATAAAAAGTACATACGGCGGATTAACTTCTGCTGTTTCTGAATAATCTAGATTAGTCTACTCACTATGGCATGTTGGGTTTTACTGAGTGATTATTGTTTAAGTATTGAATATGCCACATTACTTACCATGTCGTCTGCTTTATCATTAGGACATCATTCGACTCCCAAGGTCATTTCGTTTTCTGCAAAAGCCTCTGGCCCAGTTCATATCAGTTGTTAGGGCGCCCAAGAGTAAAGAAGGCTACGCTTCCATTGGTGGTGGATCACCCCTGCGGCAGATAACTGATGCTCAGGCATGTTGTTTTTATCTCTATATCAGTCGTACACCCCACTCTTCCCCTACAGCACTTTAAGTAGATTGCAATGTGTTGCTATGTTGGCTAATGTGGAGCTGCTTAGAGACTTAAGTTAGCTGAAGCATGTTGAACTGTTTGATGCACTCGCTTAAGCTTGTGAGCTTACCCTTCCTACAAACGTTTTGTTTTCCTCCTTAGATTAGTTGTTTATGATTGGTCTTTTTGTCGATACTTGAAAGTTGAAACCTCTCCTGAGTGGCTATTTTCTCCTTCATTCAGGCAGAAGCATTGAAAAAGTCCCTTTGGGAAAAGAATGTTCCAGCAAAAGTGTATGTTGGCATGCGTTACTGGCATCCATTCACCGAGGAAGCAATAGAACAGGTTTGTTGTACCCTAATCTCCAATGGCATTTATAAAATCAGGTTTCTGAGATTTCTCTTGGGGTTTCTTTTGCCATCATGAACTCTCAGTTATTGTGTAAATTTTCTTTACGGAGCTTCATAACTCTGGTGCTTTTGTGCCTATGCATCAGTTTATTTTGAACGTATGGTTGTCTTAACCTTCTAAGTGCTTCAGGTACTGTCAAAAGTCAAGGTCCCTCTTATGTTTCGTGGTTGAATTCCTTTTCTTCCACTACTCAGAGAATTCCTTATTACTATAATTCAAGCTGTGCCATCAACTCTGTTTCCATTGAAATGATCAAGGGGACAGTAACCTTTTGGTTGTGGTTGCCTCCCAGTACCTTCAGCTGATTTATGTACCAGCTTGCTCTTTGCTAAGTTTATTTTGCTTTAAACGTTTGCAGATAAAGAGGGATGGTATTACAAAACTTGTTGTGCTTCCGTTATATCCACAGTTTTCAATATCAACTAGTGGCTCCAGCCTGCGACTCTTGGAGAGTATATTCCGGTGATTGTTAATTTATTTGATTACGTCAATATGGGGTGCTATGTAAGTGAGTGTGAAGTTAATAATTTCCTCACCATTTCCAGGGAAGATGAGTATCTAGTGAACATGCAGCATACAGTGATACCGTCCTGGTACCAGCGTGAAGGATACATTACTGCCATGGCCAATCTAATTGAGAAGGAAGTATTAAAATTTGAAAATCCTGATAAGGTAGTTCTTTTTTAAGATGTTCAATCCATAGAAATATAGTATGCTCATATTCCCTAAGCCATTGGTTTTGTTGGTTAATTGCTTCACATGGCTAGATTTTCTCCCCCCGCTTTTTCAAAGAAGAAAAAGTTTCTGGATTGGTGGCTGGTGGGCAGATAAATGTTATTTGGAAAACTTAGATTCAGTTCGTTGTTGTTATGACCTCAAAACCTTTATTTGTACTTGGTTGTAAAAATCCATAAACAAGACTACATTTCTTATCTCCAGTTGTTTTCAATATACTTGAGCGGATGACTGCAAGTAATTTATAGTAACTTCGTTGCAGTTTAGGAAAATTAGCCTCACCTTTAAGGTTCATGCTTTAAAGAATATAATACATGTGATTGCCCCCTTGAAAAATAATGGGATTATTTATATGTGCTTTTCTAATATCTTTCTTATTTTGCATCTGCATTAAGCTTGAAGCTTTATGTTTCTGTCCTCATAGAGGGTGCAGCGATGAATTCTAAAATTTGCATTGCAGGTTGTAATATTTTTCAGCGCGCATGGAGTGCCTATAGCATATGTTGAAGAGGCTGGTGATCCATACAAGGCAGAAATGGAGGAATGTGTGGATTTGATAATGGATGAATTAGAGAAGAGACAAATCACTAGCCCATATACCCTTGCTTATCAGGTGCTTTAGATACTTTTGGGGCTTAAACTTCTAATAATTATTATTTTTTTCGTTCTAAACTTGCAAACTTCTAGAGTAATGCAGAAAGCGTGTCCTGAAACTGTACTTGGCTAAGTCAATGAATCCTGAACGTACGTGCAAGTGCAATAACTTTTCATTTTGATGTGGATCTCAGCAAATATCGGCATGCCAATAAATGACTTATCTATTAAAAGGGGATTGGTCCAGCTTCGTAATTGAAAACTCGATCCCACTAAATACTTTTTAATTCACAACTTCAAGTAAGCATATGATGTGGTTTCTACTCTTGTGCTTATCATCACTTTTTAGTCCTAGATTCAATTTGTCATAGTTGCTGCATTTGCATTGAATTATTAAGTCAATACCTTGGTTGAACAACGTGAAAATTATAGTAGTTTCATCTATATGGGAGGATGAAACCTCAGATGATGACTCGAAGATGCTTAACTAGCTAACAAGTTGCAGCATATGAACATATCTTTTCTTTTTCTTACTTTTTTTGTGGTTTTATCTCTGTTGCTATTTGGATGGCGAGTCACTGGATAGTTTTGATGTTTCTCCAGAGCAGAGTAGGTCCTGTGGAGTGGCTTAAACCTTACACTGATGAGACAATCATTGATCTCGGGAGAAAAGGGGTCAAAAGTCTTCTCGCTGTCCCAATAAGGTCAATAATGTTTTGTTAATCAGGATTTCTCTTTGCTTGAACTGACCAAGACAGCTACTTAAAATTGATTTTGTCAAATGATGTCTCGATATGGCTTGCTTACAGTGAAACCTCACTAAATTTGGTGTTCAAATCTCAGCTTTGTTAGTGAACACATTGAGACTCTGGAAGAAATCGACGTTGAATATAAAGAGTTGGCTCTTGAGTCTGGGATAGAAAAATGGGGGCGTGTTCCAGCACTGGGATGCGAACCAACCTTCATTTCAGACTTGGCAGATGCTGTGATTGAGAGCCTTCCTTATGTTGGAGCTATGGCAGTCTCTAATCTTGAAGCTAGACAGGTTTCATTCCTTTATTATTCTGATTTGAAAACCTGGGCATGGATGTTCAAGTTTTGTATCTGATCCATGTTTCTCAATTCCATCAAAGATCATATCTTTGAATGTACATTTCGTCAGAGGATATTGATTGACGAATTTAAACTTTTGCTTGGCAGTCCTTGGTTCCACTGGGCAGTGTGGAAGAGTTATTGGCAGCATATGATTCAAAACGGAGGGAGCTACCACCACCTGTGACGGTGTGGGAATGGGGTTGGACAAAAAGTGCAGAGACATGGAATGGAAGAGCAGCCATGTTGGCTGTGCTGGTTCTGCTGGTCTTGGAAGTCACTACAGGACAGGGCTTTCTGCATCAGTGGGGCATCTTACCTTTGGTTCGCTGAAAACCCAGAGAGCACAAATATGTCTGTATCATATGAATTTTGTTCCTGCAATGACTAACATTGCCTATATATGCATTACTATCTGAGAACCTATTTAGCTAAACTGGGAATAGGGGACTTTCGGTGCATTCTTTACTGTAAATTGGATTTTTAGGGGTGATGAAAAGGGTCCAAACGTTCTTTATGATGGCATGTTGTATCACCACAGACCCCATATGTTATTTTCTGAAGTTTGTGACTTCAGATATTATATATTGTCACCGTAGATTTCTGGATCTAGGTCGTGTTTTTCAAGTTGCAAAGGATTTTAGAGAGAGAAAACGGCGCACAAGTGAGTTTCTGGTGAGAGAAAGCCACGGAGGAGGGTGGAAGGAAGGAGTTCTCATCCTATCAAGCTCAAATCTCACCAAGGAAGCAAGAAGATTGTGTGTGGTTAGTAAAATAATAAATTTTGTGGTTAGTAGTTTGATAGTTAACCCACATAACTTACTATAATCATATTAAACTAACATTGTTGTTTGATCTATTTGATACGAGCACGAAACTGGTGCGCATAATTATTAAAGTTGCACAACCAAGAACAGAGTAAATTTTCATAGATAAAAAGGAATTGAAGTGCGATCTCATATTTGGGAGAAGGCTCTATCAATATAGGGTAAAAGCTCGACAACAATCAAGGGAAATACACAATTCGTGTTCTTTCCCACAAAGTTCGCGCTCTTAAAAAAAGAAATTTGCGAACTTTTTGCGCTCCGTCTCAAATCCGCGATTTGCTGCTCCAAAGCGGGAGCGCTGTAACTAAACTCACGAATTAGGTAACATCAGTCTATACACTCTCTGCACACTTCCTCCTCCCCATACTTGCAGAATATATAACGAAAATACATAATAATTGTAGGAAAGATAGAACTAAATTAAATGACACCCTCATCACTTCTTCTCCATCCCACGTCTGTGCATGTGGTTGTGTTTGGGAAGATAATTGATCATTGGCCCATATGACTTATTTTCGTGTATTAATCTCATTGTCTCTTGCATTATTTGATTTTGGTTCTTCTTTCTAACAGATGGAATTGACATTGATATGAGTTCTCAACTAAGTCGTGCCTATTCCATTTATTTTACTTCATTATTTTTGTTTTGCTTGAGACATTGTGGGTTGTATCATTAATCATTGGCCCATATTGCTTGAGACATTCCAGTTGGAACGCCTTGCTGTCGATTTCCCTTCGGAATAGTGTTGTTTGTCGACGGCGAAAGAACGTCAAGCCGCTTGTTAATCTAGTCGAATTGAACTTGGAAGGTTGTGTACAATCACGCAATGATGGCCTGCAACAATTCTTAAACATTAATCTGCTGCTCCACCATTGTTTGTTCTTCGAGAGAGATTTCTTCCTCTGACAAAGAATCCTCATCTACTATGCGGTTTGCTATGGGGTCTTTGGATCTCATACGAGAAGCATCATGCCCTCTTGATTTCATTCTTGCTACTGTGTTGAACCGGAGCTTTGATACCACTTGATACGAGCATGGAATCAGGGCGCGTATGTATCAAAATTTCACAGCCAAGAACATGATTAGTTTTAGGGGATAAAAGATAATTGAACTGCAATATCACACCTGGGAGAAGGCTATATCATTGTAGGGTAGAAGCTCGAATACAATCAAGGGAAATACTCGATTGATACAAAGCACAATTCACAACCTAAAAGCTCAACGAACCAAGAATAAACTCAATAATCTTCAATTTTGATCAAAAACTCCAGTCCAAGCCTTTAAATAGGCCAAAGAAACAACTAACCACAACCCGAAAAAGGAAAAGGATCATAAACACAAAAGCTAATTTGAACTTGTCGACGCCCAATATCCTGTCGCACACCCTCAGATCCCTAATCGCGGATTAATAGCCACCTGATTGGGGGCTCTTATGTTCCTATTCCCCGGTCTCACACTATTGATCCCTGGTTGGGAATATAGGTCCCTTATGGTCGTGGGAATTACATCACTACTACTCACCACAAAATTATACAACAAAATCCACTATAACTACGTTAGGCTAACAACATTTTGTCTTACCTTTAATTTCCCCATATTATTATTCATATTTTATAAGGAGTAAGAACTAGTTTCCTAAAAGGCTAAAATAATTCACTGGCATAATGAAAATTGCGTGTGGCATGTGGGATTAATTTGAATTAGGTCAAACAAAGACTTTCGTCTCTTTTTCTCTTCAATAGACAACTCGAATACCAAATAATTTTCATCTCAACAAACAACACAAGAATCCATCTTTATATTCATGTGGATTATATAAAGATTCGTTGGTGGTGGCCACAACACTTCAAACCTTGAAAATTGAAATTTGCAAGTAACACAACCAAACCGCACCAACATGGAGTGGATAGTGGGTAACCACTATACGCTGCGATGTGGTTTGTGGTTAGCATAATAATGACTTTTTTGTGGTTACCTACAAAACGTGGGACGGATAACCGCACTTGCACCAATTTCCATCCTACCGGAGATATGCCACCGGCAAGTGTTAACTCATAAACACAAATAAATTGCACAAAAATAAAGTACACATTGATGTGTTGTCGAAGTTGGACTGTGTCTACTCTCCGCTCAAATCGTTCCTTGAAACCTATTTCTAATTATTTTTTATTACTGATCTTACTCAAGTGATCTCCATACAAGGTGAAGATCAAACATTATACACAAACCTATGATCAAGTGCTAAACTCACTCTCTTCCAACCACAAATTACTTGGACTAAGAAGAGTACAACAACAGCCTCTCCCACGCTCAACTAAACTCTAATTGTTGAGACACTATAGCTCTTTTCTTTACACAAAGCAGTAAGCACTATCTTTCATACACCATTCGCGCCCTTCATTTGTCTTCTTCAGTTCCTTTTTAACCTCTTCAGTTCCAACAGCTTCGTTGTTAATTTCTTGGAGTCTTTCCTTTCTTTCTTTGCTGATTCACCAAAATTTTCTTCCGTCACTTTTTCTTCATTTGCGAGAGGTCGTATTGCTAATTTCTTGAGACTTTTCAATACTCTACAATAAAAGCGGAATTAATCTACGATCAATTCAATTAAATAGGAATTTCTAGTTGTACCTAGTGAAAACAAACTTCTTTCTTTTTTTCTTTTGTGAAATTATGTTTACACTAAATTAAGTATTAGTCCTCAAAATGATAGCAATATGAAGTATGTAATTTAAGGAAAGTGCAAGAAAGGACATTTTTGTTGGAAATTTGGTTGAACCAGAATAACCAAGTCAAACCAGTTTTGGGTTGGACCAACCAACCGGTTTGGGATTAGACCGATCAAACCAATATTCTAATTCAGTGAAGGAACACATCCCTTTGGCCTAGTGGCAGTTGCATTATTTTATGGATAAGGATAACCTTATGGGTAAAGGCAACCCTTCATATGGATAAGGATAGCCTTTCATATGGATAGAGGCAACCTTTCATATGGATAAAAGCAACTTTTCGTATGGATAAAGGCAACCTTTCATGAAACATTGCATGGATTCGGCCCCTATAAATATATGGGTAGGGTGGATGGTGCCACATACCATAAAACAAATTCTTCTTCTTTCTTCCAACAATTTCTAAGTATGCTTTAGTGTTCTTGAGCCTGGAACCTAAAGTGGTGATAGCTTTATCCTCGGGAAAAATCTCCTATAACCCTAGGCTTGTTGAGGGTGGAAATAATCTTTTCGGAAAGTGAACGTTGTTCACGACTCTATCACAATCCTGGTCACCCGGTCTCGTGCTATCGTACGCGAACCCTCGTCCATAAAAGTCCCAACAATCGAAAAGAATATTTTTCCGGTACGATGGCTCGAACCGCTCTTTACAAGAAACCGGTTCCGGTCTATGGAATTATGAGAATGTTCGATGATGGGTTTTTCATCGATGGCAGTAGAAGATGTGTTTTTTTCATACTTGTCTCATGGTGTATTCCATATCCGTTAAGGTAACTTGGAAGAGGGATGATTCGAAGATGAGGAAGAAGGAGAACGATTCGTAAAATGGAGAAATAGAAGAATGAAAATTGCCTTTGGGTAGGTCACATACTCAATGGTTAATTAGTCTAATTCTCTATTCGACATTTACGAAGTTCTAGATAAACTTGGATTTTTGTCTAGTGGTTTGGTGGTGTGATTTTGTCTAGTGGGTTATGTTATTTTAAACCAAGGAGACAAAATTGTATATACAATGTTTGATGATTCTGGTAATAGAGTCGTCGTGTTTGTATGTAGATGACATATTTATCTTTGGGACCAATCAAAGATAAGTGATTTTGTCAAGTGGTTTATGTTATTTTAAACCAAAGAGACAAAATGTGTACACAATTTATGATGATTCTGGTAATGAAGTCATCGTACATTTGTATGTATAAGATATGCTTATCTTTGGAACCAATAAAAGATATGTGAACTTTGATAAAAATTTGTTATTTCAATTCTCCATGTAGGACATGTGGTAGGCAAATGTGATTCTGTGTATTGAATCAAGCGGAACAACAAAGAAGAGTCCTCTCAATTTTTCTGCATGAGAAGGTACTTGCATAAATTCCATAGTAGGAATTGTAGTGAGTTAAAGACCCCAATGGATCCAAGTATGGAACTTATGGTTAATACTGGAAATCGGTTTTACAACTGGAGATGTATGCATGACTTACATGATGCTAGATATCGCATATGTGATAGAACAATTAAGTTGGTACGTGATGAATCCTAGTTCTCATCATTTGAAATGAAATGAGGCGTGTACTAGGATATGTCAAAGGCACACTGTATTGACTTATAGTGGCTTTCCATCAATTTTGGAAAGGATTTGCTGATGTTAGTTGGATTTCTCATGTTAAAGGTGATACTTCAACATTGAGATGAGTCCTCTTGCTTGGGAGAGGTGCCATAATTTGGGCCTCTAGAAAGCAAACTTGCATCACTAAGTTTCACTATGGAATCAAAGTTTGTGTGGCCTTGATTTCTCTTAGAGAAGAGACATAATTGTTGAGAGGTTTGGTTTATGACATATATTTTTGGCCTAAACCAATCTCACCTATTACTATTTTTTGTGATAGTAATGCTAATTTGGCTAAGGCATATAGTCAAGTGAAAATGATAAGTACGGTCATGTGGGAGTATGGCACGATAAAAGCTGTGAACTGATCATTCATAGTGTTGTGTATAGACAGTATGACCAAACTCGAATTAATTTGGTTGATCATTTGACGAAGTGGTTAACTAGTGACTTGGTGATTAAGTCTGTGAAAGGGATGGATTAAAGTCCATATAATTTCTGGTAATGGGACACTCAATTCCCCTCTAATACAATATTAGAAGCTGAATTCAATGTGGAAAGCTTATTATCAGAAATTGAAGCACAAAATTTGTCATCCCGAGGTATGTGCTTGTTATCTGCATGAGAGAAGTGGATGAAGTTCAAAACTTCTTAATTGAATCTTTGACAAAGTGTATTATGCGGGTACACGAACAAAAGATTCGACCTACGTAAACATGAAGTGTAGCCGCTTCAAGAAACCCGGACTTTGGTTTCGTGTGCGCTTATGAGAAGGATTGGACACATGGCGGATAATAGTTTCAAGGCACTTAGAAGTTTTGAAAACTTAAGTGTATATTATCTTCGAATATTCATATGAGTCAATGGGTTCAATCGTTACCGACACCCTTTGTATTCGAGTATTCGTCAAGTGTAATATACTAAGGTAAAAATTCAATCGTCACGACATTTTCATTTAGGCTTAAGTTTTGTTGGAAGAATGTTGTGATTTTAGTGAATTCCAAGAATACACTAAAATGGGGGAGAAATGTTGGAAATTTGGTTGAACCGGACTAACCAAGTCAAAACGGTTTTGGGTTGGACCGACCAACCGGTTTGGAATTAAACCGACCGAACCAATATTCTAATTCTGTGAAGGGACACATCCCTTTGGCCTAGTGGCAGTTGCATTATTTTATGAATAAAGATAACCTTATGGGTAAAGGCAACCCTTCATATGGATAATGATAACCTTTCATATGGATAGAGACAACCTTTCATAAGGATAAAAGCAACCTTTCGTATGGATAAAGGCAACCTTTCATGAAACAATGCATGGATTCAGCCCCTATAAATATATGGGTGGGGTGGATGGTGCCACATACCATAAAACAAATTCTTCTTCTTTCTTCCAAAAATTTCTAAGTATGCTTTAGTGTTCTTGAGCCTGGAACCTAAAGTGGTGATAGTTTTATCCTCGGGAGAAATCTCCTGTAACCCTAGGCTTGTTGAGGGTGGAAATATTTTTTTCGAAAAGTGAACGTTGTTCACGACTCTATCACAATCCTTATCACCTGGTCTCGAGCTATCGTACGTGAACCCTCGTCCATAAAAGTCCCAACAATTTTTTCACAGTTATATTGGTTTTTGTTGGTGCACGGTTTGTTGCAGCTTGTTCCTTTCATTTTACTACTTTCACAAGGCTTGCGGACAAGCATGTTCTCGAGCGGGTGAGAATTGTAATGACCCAACCATATGATAGCAGAGACAGACTTGTAATAGAATAGGAAATAGTGGACGGAATTGTAAAATGTACTCTAACTATATCATCGACAATTGTCAAAGTAAACAATATTAAAGATCAAATAAACAATTATGCTTAGTTCTCTTTCTCTTCTCGCCTCCCTCCCTTTCTTTCAGCTAATCCCCTTGTCGGAGATGTCGATCCCGTCCGATTACTACATCATAAAGTCATTCAAGACCACAACGTTGAGTCATTGTGTTCTTATGTTTTTTTGCTTACATCATCCATCGACCTTAATCATCTTCCATACCCCAAATTCATCTTTTATTTCGAAGCAAAAGTTGAATTTGAAACAATGAACTAATTTTGGACAGAATTTCATGATGACATATCTTATAGAACTAAGGAGTTTGTTCTATTTAGAGATTGAAAATTGGGGAGGATCAACTAGGGATTGATATTCCTATTGGTAAAGGAGGGAAATTGAGAATGGATTGTAGAAGGGGGGAAAGAAAAATAAGAGTTGTGGCAGTAGCTAGAGGAAGGGAGGGAAGGTGTGGCGGAGGGAGGGAAAGAGGTAGACCTGGCAAATTACAATCCGACCCGTTGACCCGACCCAAAATCGCTCGAAAACTAGAATTTTTTGTAACCCAAAATCCGAATGACCCGAACTCGATAACCCGTGATTTTTTGGGTTGGGTTGGGTGGGTTAGTGGGTCGACCCGTTAGACCTGTTCCATTTAATATATTACTCACAAAATATGATAAAATCACTCGTAAATTGGTGAGATATTTAAAAAAAATCACAAGGATTTGAATGACATGTTTGGAGTTTAAGGATAATCAAATATCATGTGTTTCTTGTAGTAGTATTACTCTTGTGATTGTTTTTTGACGATTTGCGCAATTTATATTTCATTTCATTAGCGTGGAAGGATTTGAGAATATGTTAACTAACATGTGTTAGGTAAACTATTGTCATGCATATGTGAAAATTTGTGTTCTTTAAGAAAATATGAAGCATGTTTGATATTGTTTCTGAGAACGCTCATAACCCGAAATGACCTGTAACCCGACCCGAAACCAAATGGGTTGGGTCAATATTTGACCCGAAATAAGCCAACCAAACATGACCCGACCCGTAACCAAAGTTCTCAACCCGAAATTACCCAAGCCGACCCGATTGCCAGGTCTAGAAAGAGGAGATGGTTTAGGAAATCTCAATTAGCTTCAATCATAATTACTGAGATAATCCCCACTTACCAAATATTTATATAATCCAAAATTTTCCAAATACTACCACAAATTATTAAATCCCTACAAGGAACCTCCAATAATTCCCAACAAAGTCATAATGAATAATAAAATGACAAAATGGTCCAAATACTTAAATCGCAGAAATTCAGGTTTCTATCATCCACGCCTCCTTGAGAACAACCTTAACATCAAGGTTGAACTCTAGCTTTCTAGTTCTCTTCCCTACCTTCTATCACCTCATCCTCAGCCTCGTCCTCCCAACAGCCCACTAGCATCATTAGGTCGATTCACACACTGATGGTCGAACGTGAACCTCGTTACAGTTGAAGCACTTGCCTCCCCACCTCTTTAGCTCGACCTCGGCCGGAGACAACCTGACAAATCCCTTCGATGGCGCCCAAGGTCAAGGTCGAAACATCACCAATGTCGCTTCCGCGGTAGCTCGAGTGCATGCACCTACCCCTGCCGATTACGCCTCCACCACTGGTAGCGGCCTATGGTGCTTCTCCGTCTTGTTATATCTCCTCCTCCTTGTGACTAGCAAGACGGAAAGCAATCCTCAAGGAATCCGGCTTAAAGACTGCGACCATGGTAGTGATCTCCGGCCTAAGACCCGCCATACACAATTCCACTAGTGTCTCCTCGTGCACTCCTTTGCACTGGTTGCCAAACTTGAGAAAGTCACCCCAATATTCAGCCATTGTCCCCGTCTGTCTCAACTTAGCAAACTGCTCTGAGGTCCAACCTACTGACTTGCCAAACTGGTACTGAAGCTCTTCCTAGAACCTTGTCCATGTAATCAAGGTCTTATCCACAGAGTAGGACCTCTCTGACTGCTCCCACCATTGCAGAGCATCCCCCTCCAAGTAAAAAGACACCAGATGCGCCTTCCGCTTTTCCCTCGTAGTATGGTTCTTGAACCACCTATCAGCTATATACAACTAGATACATGCATCCTCCTAACCATTGAATTTTGGAAATTCATTGGTTGGGGGTTTGACCCTAAACACAAGATCATCATCTCCATCATAGCTACGGTAATGCCTACCAACCTGCCAATGTCTGGAGTCCCCCCACGGTGGTAACGAGGGATCCACAGATCTCTGTCTTGGCCCCATGCCTCTTCTTCTTCCTTTGGGTAATTCGTATACCCCTCCGTGCCAACCCGAGGTCCTTGTCCTCCATCCCACTCACTACCCAATTGACGCCCGTAGCTCGAGTCGTGAAAGTAAGTTTAAGTGCACCCATCTCTCCTTGTGGTCCTCTCCAGCTTGCGGACCCCCTGCTGCTTGGGTCGGTTTGGGTTGAACCTGGTTCAACCAATTTTGATTCGATCAGGTTGGGTCGGTTCGAACTCAATTGAAAGGGTTGACTCTTTGGCTCAGCTCACTCCAACCCGACCCATTAATCTCACTCCATCTTCCTCTTGAGCCGACCTAGGGTAACTGCCCACGCGCCCGACCTCTTCTTCTCCCACCATCGAGTCCAGCAACCCAAAGCCCGGATTCTGGATCACATTATCGTAGTCCGGCAGCTTGGCCGTGCCACGCATAACAGCTATCTTCTAGGTTTTCGGAGTCAGCAACAACTCAGGCCCATCTCGAGGCCCAAATGAGACGTGGCCCGCATGATCTGCGGCTCCTCGTCCTAGGTCAGCCGTTGCCGCCCTTCCAACCTCTGTTGCTTTGTCGCCTACTATTCCTACCCCGCGCCACCGCCAGATGCGACCTCTACCCTAGCGCCTCTGTCGCACTTCTCACTCGTCTCATCGCTCGCAGGGATCATCTTCGTCTCTCGCTAATCCCGAGACCAGAATCCCGCTCGGCTCGCCCTCGTGTTCCCTGTTCGTGGCTGAGTCATGGTTTTGACCAGGTCCATCACCACCGCTCGAAGCTCCCTTACCTCCTTGCACAGCGCCGTCTAACCTTCTGTCAAGTCTTGCGATCTCCTTCTTCAGTTTGTCCGCATCGGCACGTAACACCTTTGTGTCCGTCAGGTCTTCCATGGCTATGTCGATTTGCGACGAATAACTTTTCTCATGTTCTGTTTGTCCTTGCGCCGCCAGGGCTTCCTAAGCAGCCTTTTCACCGCCGTCTTCGACATGGTGACTGCCATTACTAGCCTTCGATAGTCTCCTGTTTAGAATTGCTCTGGACTCAATCTCGAAACCAGGCTCTGATACCAAATGGTAAAACCAAGGAGTTGGCTCTATCTTGGGAATGGAAATTAGGGAGGATCAACTAGAAATTGATCTTCCTATTAAAGAAAGAGGGAAATTGAGAATGAATTATAAAAGGGAGGGAAAAGAAAAGAAGAGTTGCGGCAGCAGTTAGAGGAAGGGAGGGAAGGTGCAGCAGAGAGAGGGAGAGATGAGAGGGTTTAGGAAATCTCAATTAGGTTCAATCATTGTTAGTGAGATAATCCCCACTTACATCATACTTAAATAATCCGCAAATTTCCAAAAACTACTCCAAATTATTATATCGCCGCAAAGGACCCCGATCATTTCTGTTTGAGCCTCGTCGCCTCGTCACCGTACCCGCTCCCTTGATGTCAGGTGCCTGCCTACACACACGAACACAGAGGGGGCGCCCGGGCCCGTTAACCCTCTGACGGTCAAGTCAGTTCTCTTCTAGAGAGAGAAGTGCGTAGAGAATGAGTTTAGTGTGAGAGTCCAACCTGTGTACATGCTACCAACTGCCTCTATTTATACTCATCCAACTCGATGTTGATCTCCTCCACGTCATCACCACATTTAATGCCTTGTACCTTCATTTCTTCAGATGCCTCAACCACCTTGTCAAGCTTCTGACGATTGTCAGGCGCCTGCAGGCGAGAGACCACTTGACAGTCTGGACTTCCTTGGCCTTTAGCGTTTTGTCCTTATGTGCCTTTCACCTTGTATGGAATGGGCTTCGTGGGCCCATTCATGGGTTTCTTCTGCTGGGTAATTGTTTGAGCTAATTTTTGACTCAATGAGTCTTTCTTTGGCCCTCCTAGTGGTACCCCCAACAATTTCCAACAAAGTTATAAAGAATAATAAACTGACGAAATGGTCCAAATACTTAAATCGTAAAAATTCAGGTTTCTATCAAAATCTATGACACAAACCAACTAAAAACGATTTTGACAAACCTATTAAAGCCTAAAAACATAGAAGAAGAAGCAAAAGAACATAGATTCATAGACAAATATTGGAAATTAAGAGTTTGTTACAACATATAGATATAAGAACACTCGGAATTCAGTAGCAGCTGCTATTGGACAAGTTTACTAACTGTATGCAATAAACTGAATAAGTTTTAGAAGGTAGGCAAATTACTACAACATCCATATCCTCATGTACCTAAAAGAGTTTAATCGTACAAAAGTTTTAACACATGTTTTTCTTCTGTTTTCGCTTCTATGTATAGAATTTGTCACTTGATTTGAAACTCCCCACTGGCATGAACTTCCTTGACTCTTTTATCATATTCGTCCTCTTCTTCGTCTTCATCTTCTTCTTCCTCTACCTCTCCATCTATGTCTTCCTCCTCATCTTCCTCTCTACCCCACCCGAAGCCCTTGACAGGGGTTGTTGATGTAGGCTTCTGCCGTGCCTCGGTCACGATTTTCATAATGTCCTCCACGCTTTGAACACGGAACCTCGGATCATCCCCTCTCTTGTAGTACATGGACTGAGCTGACTCGGACAGCTCTTTCGGTAAGTTCTTCAAGAACCAGGGATGGCTTTTTATATCCTTTATGGAGATTCTCTGCCATGGAGATGAAAACACCAGACGCATTATTGATTCGACTGACAAAACAATTGGTGAGCGCGCTAAGTTGATGTCATATCTACTGCATTACCTTCAGTGGATTTGCAACAAATATGCGAGACAGCAGGTGTCTGCACTCTTGAGATATGTGCACATAGTCGGGGATCTTGTACTGCACAGCCATTATTTTCTGCAAACGTAAAGCAAGCATGAAAACATGGTGACAACAGCAACAAGTAAAGGGCTTTGCCTATCTACGCGTGAGAATCGTTCACCTGGATTGTTTTGCGGAAGTTCTTGGGGTCATCTTGGTCTTCAAAAGGGTATGCTCCCACAAGCATCACATAGAGAGTGACTCCACAGGACCACACATCTGCCAACTGAACAATGCAAAAAATAACTAGAACTGAGTGTCATGGCATATCACATACATAGAAGTGAAGTAAACATAACACACTTGATATCTACATTCACTTGCAATAAGGAACCACAGCTCCTCCTCCCCTATGCAGAAGCTCATTCGATATTTACCGGGACTGAGAGTAGGTCAGGTCATCACCAATCACCACCATCTTGTGTATGTGGTAAAGGTCAAACCTATAGGTAACAACTGATTTCTCTATCGATTTTCTCAATCTTCAATTAAACTAGTCTTAGAGTGGAAGATCCAGAAAGCTAAGAAATCAATAAAGAAACCATTGACAACATGGTTTGGAGTAGAAAGTACTCAAAACTCTCGAGGACCAAAGTGAAGTGTCCAAAAAGCAAACAGTTTTGCACATCTAACACCAGCGTATGGCATGTGCAGCCAGCTTTGGACGGTCCTTGATTCATGGGTTTGCCCACAAGGAGAGATCACTACATCTCTTACCCCAATACTTAAAAAAAAAACTGTGCTTCGAGGACCCTTGAGAATGACAAATTTCTCAACTATAAACAAAACAAACCAATTACTACAACCGAAACCAGCCAACGGTGATTTGATGAACACCATCACACCCTACTATTTTAACAGATTTATATTTCAGTAGCAGGTGGGTTACGTGTTCGAATCAATGAAGTAGTATAGGTCGATCCTATGTAACGTAATTGTCCTTTACCTTGCCGTCGTATTCTCTGCGGTTTAGAACCTCCGGCGCTATGTATGCTGGAGTTCCCACCGTCGATTTGGGCCTTGAGTGCAGCAAAGATGACTGCACATCATGTACCACCAAACCGTGGAATCAATAATCACATAACAAATGCACCAATAAGATAAGGGGTGAAGATCAAGAAAGCAAAACTTCAAAAAAATGAAACCTTGGAATATCCAAAATCACAAATCTTCAAGCGAGGTGCAGGGCTTCCATCAAGAAGCGTGTTTTCCAGCTTCAAATCTCTGTGGCAGATTTGCTGTCAAAACAGGAGAAGGTGGATATGTAAACAACTGTATGTCTTCATTCAGCAGAGAAAGCCAAAAATGGTTGGTGATTAATAAGAAATCCATTCGTTTGTTTTGGTTACCATGAAGTGGCAGAAATCAACACCAGAGATCAGCTGTTGAAAGAAGTATCTAGCCTGAGAACAACAAGTGCATCAAACTACAGGTAATGGGCAGAAGCAAGTGGAAGACCGAATCTAGCAGATCTAAGGGGAAGGAGGAAAAAAGAAGGACCTCATCTTCACTGAATCTGCCAGCGCTGCAGATGCGCTCAAAGAGCTCCCCACCAGCAGCATACTCCATCACAATTGCCAAATGGGTTGGAGTCAGAACAACCTGCAAAGAAAATTGAAGAGCACTTCTTGAGAAATCAACAGTACTGGAAGATTTGATTGAGGACTATGATCAGTTTGTTTGACAAGAACTTGCCTCCTTGAAGCGGATGATATTGGGGTGCCTGAGCGATCTGTGATTGATAATCTCCCTGGCCACATTCTCATCTATCTGTTGGCAATCAATATTACCACACCGAATTAAGAGGAAAACAAAACCGAAGATCGGATTTTTGAACTTGGAGGAAAAATTAGAGAGCAGCAAGCAAACCTTGTGACCTCGCTCGATGTATTTCATGGCAACAAGCTCTCTGGTTTCCTTATGCCGCAACAGCCTCGCCACCCCGAAATTACCAGCTCCCAAATCCTTCACTAGCTCGTATCTCTCCATTTTCCTCAAGTAATTTCTTCTCTCGTCGAGTTGGAAAGCTGCTGTCTAAAGAGTATACAAGTCAAAGCTCATATACACATATAATGCTGCAAAGTTATGTACCGACTGCCCCACGCTGTGACTGTATGAATAGGGAAGATGAATACAGGCAGAGAGAGAGAGTGTGAGGTTGGTGGGTCAGGTGTTGAGGACCGCCATGCCCGAACAGAATTAATAATATATCGCTGATGGAAAGCAGGGACTGTAGTGGAGGGGAGGGAGGAAGGAAGGGGAACTGGGGAAGAGAGCGAGGAAAAGAAGGAAAACGGTGGGAGATGGATGGAGATTGATGATGGCGGATGCGTCCTATCAAATAATTTATTCATTTTGTATTAGATCTCGTTTACTTATTAATAATCATCAATACCCAATCATAAAAAACCTTAATGGGACAGGGAGGAGAGAGTGTGTGAGATCTTCCACATTATCAACTTGTGAATTTTATTTAAGTTTTTTTTTTTTCTCGTTTAACCACATGATTGGATGCTAATTAGTAATTAGAGTCCCTAGTTTAATTTGAATGAGTCCCTCGTTTTTTTAACTTTTCACTAGAGATGTTCAAATGATTAAAACACTTGTAATCGGAACCAATTAAAAGTGTTTATGAGTAATGAGTTTTTCTCATCTAAATTCTATACGAAGGCATTGAGAGACAGATGTGATTTTGGGTATCGAAATCAAGCGAAACGGCAAAGAAGTAGTCTTGTCTCAATCTCATTATATTGGGAAGGTGCTTGCTAAATTTTATTGTGAAAGTCATCGTGAATTAAAAACCCTAGTGGATCCAAGTATGGAACTTTTGCCTAATACTGGACAATCAGTTTCACAAGTGGACTACTCCAAGGTTATTGGGTGCTTGATGTATGCAATGACTTGCACAAGACCAGATATTGTATATGTATTAGGAAAATTAAGTCGGTATACAAGTAATCTTAGTGCTCATCATTGGCAATGCAGTGAGATGTGTACTCGAATATCTAAAAGGCACAATGCATTATGCATTGACTTAAAGTGGATTTCCATCTTTTTTGGAAGGATAAACTAATGCCAATTGGAGTTTTGATGTTCAAGATCATACTTCAACATTAGGGTGGGTCTTCTTCCTTGGGGGAGGTGTAACTCTTAGGCCTATAAGAAGCAAACTTGCATCACTAGTTCCACTATGGAGTCAGAGTTAGCGGCCTTGGCTTCTGCCGGAGGAGAGGCAGAGTGCTTGAGAGGCTTTAGTTATGACATTTCTTTATAGCTTAAACTAATATCACCAATTTATATCATTTGTGATAGTAATGCTACTTTGGCTAAGTCATATAGTCAAGTGTATAATGGCATGTCTCGCCATTTGGGAGTTAGACATAGTAAAGTCCATTGATCAATCACGGATTTGTGTCTATACAGTATGTCAGAACTCAAGAGAATTTAGCCGATCATTTGACAAAGGATTAGCTAGAGACTTTGTAGTCAAGTATGTGAAAGGGATGGGTTTAAAGTCCATATAATTTCTGATTATGGGATACTCAGTTCTCCTCTAATACAATGTTAGAGGTTAAATTCAAGGGTTAATACCTTATTATGGCCCGAACTATATGCAAGTAATCAACTTTGGCTCGTGCTTTAAGAAATTGTTATCCTCACATCAATTATACATCATATAGACTAATTTGGCCCGACTCGTGAGTTTCCGTTAGATTAGACTGTCAACATCAGTGACCGTTAGTGAATCAGCATGTTATGCTGACGTGGATGACATGTGAAAAATAAAAAATAAAAAAAAAGATAAAAATGGATTTTATCAATCCACCACCGTCACCCTAAGTCTCTAACTCTCTCTTCTCTTTGCATCCACCACCGTCTCTAACTCTCTCTTCTCTTTGCATCCACCACCGCCACCATACCGTTCCGCCATCCCAACCCTCATCCTCTCAATGCTGCATCACAGATCCCCAGTTCCCACTTCTCCACCAACCCTCAATTTTTGGTGCTCGATTCTTCCCCTTCTACGAATTTACTCGCAACCCTAGAAACCAATTCCTTTCTTCCCTCTCTTCTTAGAGGATCCCAAATCTAGCAACAACTACGCAGCCTCTACGCGAACAATTGTAGCTTTTTCGGGAGTTCGTCGACGCAGTATTTCTTGGTGATCCACCTCGTCCTCCGCTCGGATTTTTTTGTTGTTGCCAAAGAGCCGAATCCTTCTCGTCGTCGTCGAAAACCCAGTCGTCCTTCCCGTCTTCGACGACCTTCACCCTCCTGGCGAACGTGATCGCCCGATGCCACGACGGCTAAATACGAAGAGTAGTGGACTCCCCTAAATTAAATCCGGATTTAGATCTCTAGTTCCCGATCGGGTCTCCGGTGAGTCTTTTTGGTGTCTTTAATTATTTTTGTTATTAGATAAAATAATAAATAATAAGATTTAAGGAAAAAATATTTAATTTTGGATTAATTTTGTTTTTTAATATTTTGTATGATGACATGGCACATTGACCTTTAGTCAATGGTGTTGAGAGTCCAAATTGATGGTCAAAACACGCGTCCGGCCAATTATGACTATATGGTGTATACTTGAGGCCAGGATAACAATTTTTGAAATCACGGGCCAAAATTGATTATTTGGGTATAGTTGGGGCTAGAATAAGGTATTACCCCAATGAGGAAAGCTCATTATCATAAATTGAAGAATACAATACATCATCCTGAAGTATGTGTTTGTTATCCTGCATGAGAGAAGACGATGAAATTTGAACTTCTGAATTGAATCTTTGATAAAGTGAATTATGCAGGTACACAAATAAAATATTCAACTTACGTAAGTAGGAAGTGCAGTCGCCTCAAGAAATCAAGATTTTAGTTTCATGTGCGCTTATGAGAAGGATTAGGACACATGGCGGGTAATAGTGTCAAGATCACTTGGAAGTTGTAAAACTAAAGTGTATATTATCTTCAAATATTAATATGAGTAGAAGGGTTCAATCGTTATCGATGCCCTTGTATTCGAATATCCGTCAAGTCTAATATACTAAGATAAAAAATTCAATCATCACGATATTTTCATTTAGTGGCTTCTTTGAATACATTAAAATGGTGGGTGGGAGGGGGGGATGTAGGAAATGAGGTAGACCCAAATTGGTTAAACTAAAGGAGCAGAGGTTAAAAAGAAATTAGCCATCAATCCTTTTTTTTTTTTTTTGCCAAAGATATTCCGGGAGGAATAGCAAGATACGAAAATATACAAGACCAAACGGTCAGGGAAAAGAAACAAGAGCAAAACGATGGTCAACCAGTCGCTGAACCATCGATGCGAGGGCCTGTTTTGCAACGGTATGGGCAGCCCTGTTATACCTACGAGGAGCGAAATGAAATGAAACACGCGCGAGAGAAGTTCGCAGCACCTGAACCTCTTTCAGAATTGCACCCCCCAAAGCGTGATTCGAATCCTTCGCGGACACCATCCGAATAACGACCTGCGCATCACCACAAAACAGAACATTAGTTACAGAATGAGAAAGGCACCAACGCATGGCATCCCGAAGCGCCAATAGTTCAATAACAAAAGGATCGTGAACTTCCGCGTAGGAACGTCCAAAAGCAAAAGATATAACATTCTGAGATGCGAAACCAACAAAATCGATGGCACCCCCAAAGGATTCCTTAGTAGCTCGGTCAAAATGAACAAGCATGAATCCAGTGGGAATAGAAGGCGGAGCTGAGTTGAGGCAAGGAGTCGGTGATGGAAGATGCTAGCAGCGTCTTGCAGTCCCTGATTCTTGAGATGAAAACCATTTCGCAGTTTGACAGTTAAACTGTCGCAGCAAAGAAACCTGGAGGAATTGGATGAGTTCATAAGTAGATGAGCATCTCCCTTTTCAGATCCTCAGTATAAGAACACCAATCTCGTCACCTCGGTGCGAGATAAGCCTGCATCTAAAAGCAAGAACCTCCAACCTACTGCAACGTGAAGTGAGTTTATGCGGTGGAATAAATGACCAAAACCTGCTAACTCCCACAATTCAGTCGCTATTCGACATCCCAAAAAGCAATGAGATAAGGTTTCTTTAGGATGAGAACAAACAGGACATAGAAGTCCTTCAACATCCTCTTCCTCAATGAGCTCTTTATCCCGTAGGACATCTCGCACATGTAAGAAACCTTTAATTAACCGCCATAGGAAAAATCGTAATTTAGGAGGAACAGAGAGGGCCCAAAGAGCTTTCCAAGCCCAGGAATCAAAGATAACAGGAATAGTAGAAAGATTACGCACAAATTCAGAAGCTGCAACATGGTAACCAGATTTTACAGAGTACTCACCCAATGGTTCGTAATGCCATATAAGTTTGTCAGAAATAGGAAGTTGAGGTAGCGGGATCATAAGGATTACCTTAACTGTGGCAGCATAAAAAAGAGACTGCAGTATTTCCATTTTCCAAGTTCCATTTGAGTGGTCAATGAGAGAGGAAACCTGTGTAGATGGCAGAACAGCATGGGCCAACAGCTTGGTACTAGAAGGAGGCGTGGTGTGGAGCCAACAATCATTAGTAATGTGGATTTGTGTGCCGGATCCAACGAGCCAGAGGAGACCTTGCAGCAAGAGATCACGTCCAATCAGCACGCCTTGCCAGGCCCAGGATGGGCGAGCTCCTTGTACAGCCTGCAAAAATAAAGTTTGAGGAAAATATTTAGCTTTATACATCACGGCTAGAGCACAATCCGGAGATTGGAGGATTCGCCATGCTTGTTTGGCTAGAAGAGCTATATAATTGCTGTCGAAGTCTCGAAATCCGAGTCCACCATGGATCTTGTGCCGACAAAGCGATCGCCAGGATGCCCATTTCATACCTTCATCTCGATCTTGTTGAGACCACCAGAACCTCGCCAAATGTCCATTTAGTCGTCTACAGAAAGTTGATGGCATGCGGAAACTGAGCATAGCATAGTTCGGCAAAGCATTGGCAACGGACTTCATGAGGGTTTCTTTAGCAGCAAGAGATAGTGCCTTGGATTTTCATTGTTGAAGCTGAGAGACTAGCTTATCTTCAATGAATTGAAAGGTAGCTTGTTTGGACCAAGCGATATGAGTAGGGAGTCCTAGATAGCGGTCTTCTAAAGTGCTTTCTGCTACTCCCAACAAATTAGTTATGGCTGTTGCATCTTCAGAAGAAGTGTTTCTACTAAAAGTGATCGAGGATTTATGAAGATTAACTTTTTGACCACTAACCTGTTGATAAGAGGCAAACAAAGAGAGGAGGTTATGACATTCCGGGATTGAAGCTTTGATAAAAAGGTAAGTGTCATCAACGAAAAATAGATGCGATATCACCGGACATCGCCAATGCACTTTTATCCCATAAAGACACTGAGCTTGGATTTCCTGGTCAATGAAATGAGAAAAACCTTCTATATAGAGAGCAAAAAGCAGAGGAGATAAGGGATATCCTTGGCGGATACCACGTTTTGGATGAAAGAAACCGTGCGGGCTTCCATTAATCAAGACCGAGAAGGAAACAGTAGTGACACATTGTTTAATCCATTGTAACCATTGGTCACAAAAACCGAAACGTTGTAGAAGAGAGAACAAAAATTCCCATTCAACCCGATCGTAAGCTTTCTCCATATCTAATTTTAAAGCCATCCACTTCTCTTGGCCAACGATCTTAGTTTTCAAGAAATGCAACACTTCCTGCCCGATAAGAATGTTATCAGAGATTAACCGACCCTTGACGAAACCATTTTGGAAGGGACTTACCACATGAGGGAGGATAGCAGCTAGGCGAGTGGTGAGAATCTTCGAAATCACCTTATAAAATACTTGACATAATCCAATGGGTCGCATTTGTCTCATCGATTCTGCATTTGGGACTTTAGGTATAAGGTGATCCAAGTGTGGTTAAAGTTAGGCAAAAGGTGGCTGGTGACAAAGAATTCATGTACTGCAGCCACAACTGAATCTCCTACCAGACCCCAAAAAGATTGGAAGAAAATGCCGGTAAAACCGTCTGAACCAGGGGCCTGGAATCCTCCTATACTGAAAACAGCAGAACAAATATCCTCTCTAGAAACATAGGCAGTTAGGGAAGCATTCATATCGTCAGTAATCATAACTGCCTGTCCCAAACAGTCTAAGAATGGTTGAACATTTGAGCATTCAAAAGTGAATTGGAGAATGAAAAATTGAATAGCTAACATACCTTTATCAGATTCCTCAGAGTGGAGGACACCATTTTCATCGCGGATGGCAAGAATCCTATTCTTACGACGTCGTTGCAAAGTCGTAAGATGAAAAAATCTTGTATTTGAGTCTCCTTCCGTTAAGTATGTGATTCGGGATTTCTGTTGCCAACAGAGTTCTTCCTGGAGGTAAGCTTCAACTAATTGTTGCTCAAGTTGACTGATGGTGACCCAATCTATTGGATAAATCGTTTGAAGAGAAGTGATGGCATCCTTAGTCTCGCGAATTGCCCGAGCAGAATTAGAAGTTCCTTTAGAGGCCCAGCTGAAAAGGTGGTGGCGGGAAGACTTCAAGGTGGAATGGAGTTGGAATTGTAGGGTACCACTGTAGGTGCGATGCCATTCAGAGTCTAGGATACCCTGAGCTTCCAGATTATCAATCCAGCATGCATCGAAGTGGGAGTTTGCATTCGTACGAGCTGTCGCGGGATGTAGCTGCAGCAACATCATACGATGGTCAGATCCAAGATCAGAGAGATGGTGAATTTGCACACCTTGCCAAGAAGTAAGGGCTGAAGGCGACTCCAATCAGCGATCAAGGCGCTCCATGATATGTTCTTGAGGGGATCGTCGATTGGACCATGTGAAAGGAGGTCCGAGAAAACCCAGGTCCAGCAGGTTAAGACGGGAAAGAAAGTTCTGCAAGACAGAGAAGGAGTGAGGTGTTGGAGGTTTGCCTCCCAACTTCTCAGAGGAAGCTAACAGACAATTAAAATCACCCATTATAAAGGAAGGAGAGGAGAGGGGCAAGAGGTAATCTAAATGGCATTGAATTGATTTATTCGGTCCCCCTCATAACAACTCAGATGCACAAATACGATAGTAAAGACTCCATAAACTTGGTGGATACAGTCCACTACCAAGAAAGCAGAACATTGAAACACAACTGAACAGGCCCTTCCGAGGTCCAAACAACCACCATACCACCGGAAGTGTTCACAGGACTGACAAGGGCAGAATCTGGAAAACCTAGACGAGTAAGAAGCATTTTAACCTTCCTATCACGACACTTTGTCTCACAAAGAAAGAAAATCATGGGAGACCTACTAAACACGGCAGATAATAAGGACCGACGTGCCAAGGATTTGCCAAATCCTCGACAATTCCAAGCCAAGATACTCATATCTTGGATTGGGACCGATCAAGGTCGGTTTCCTCCACCTGAACAGAAGAAACAACATTGGTATGATGTAACACTGGACCCTCCACGCACAAAGCTTTCGATGCTGGGGGAATTTTGCCATCTTCAAGAGTGGCACGGTTGCGGGAGTGGGAGTCAAGATGCAAGGATAAAGTGCCAGCAGCAGCAGGTTCTAAGGAGAGGCGCTGCATTCCGGAAGTATTCCGGTCATGGGTGGACGGACGGTCGGCAGATTTGGAGGATTGGCCGAGAGGCCTCTCAAAGCCAGGGCGATTCCAAGAGAAACGCGCAACCTTCCTCCGTAGTGTGTGTTCATCCACTCGGAGCCCTTGTCATAGGCTAGGATGTGCTTCCCATAAGGCAGATCCTTCCCAGCAAACTCTGAGATGAACTCGCAGCGAGAACTGGTATGGCTTATGACACCACAGCAAAAACAAAAAAGAGGTAATTTCTCATAAAAGACAGAAGCTTTGAAGATTCCTTTACTGTTGTCTTCATGTGAGGCTGTAACGGAAACAGGCAGAGGTCTGGTGATTTCAAGCGCCACTTTCACCGGAAGATACACTCCACCAGTCCTGCGGCCGACGTGAACAACCGCTTCTTTCAGTTCACCCATGGTGGAACCCAGGCATCGGGCCATTAATACTGTGTGTCCTGCAGAGGGGACTTTCCAAAATTGCACCCAAAGGGGAATTCGGTCAAGGGAGTCAGCAACTTCCGATGATGGAGAACACCAGGGGCGAAGATGGATTAGGAATCGAGGCTGAATCCATGGGGATTTGTCTCGAACGTGGGCAAGGTCAGCGGCATCAGTGAAGATGAACTGGGTAAGTCCTTCTTCCACCGGCAAAACAGTCAGCGATTCATTACAATTACAGAGGTCCACCAATAAGCTCTGCAAACTACCAACGGAAAGGGCGGGACCATGAATCTCTCCTCTGCAACAATAATAATTGCATCATTGTAAACAGCAACAAGCTCAGCCGCCATTGGAGTTCGAAAGCTAGGGTTCGCGTGGAGGATGAAAATGAAATCAAGGGGAAGATGGCGGTGTAACAGTAGAGCATCATAGTGCAATCGAAGCCTTAAAAGGTCGATTGAAAGACCCATAAGGTAGCCAAACCGCTTCGAAAACGGAGGCATGTCGCCGAAGAGTCGCGAGAAGAGAGTCGCACGACGGCGAGCGAAAACGGAAACCGCCAGTCGCGGGGAGAGGAGAGGACAGCCCACGTTTTTTTTCCTTACATCTATCTCCAAAATCCTCTTGTCTCTTCCTCCCTAATTAGCCATCAATCCTTTACTTTTGAATGACTAATATTTCATTCCATTAATTTATCCACTTGATGCATTAGTTTGGAACGTTTGGATTTTGTAGTGAAGTAATGTTTTAGGATGAAACAACGCATCCTTCCAACTCCAATTGCATTAAGTAATGAAATTAAACCAATTGAACATATGAAGACTAATGAAACATATGGAGACTACCTTAACTGACCAAATGAAAGATTGTGATCTTTCAAACTTGTCACTCATGCACTATATAAACAAGCACTCGATTGATGGCAAGTGAAATAACATACAAGAGAAACATATATTCTTCTTTCATAAAATACTTCTAAGTGTGCTTTTGTGTTGTTAAGCTTAGAACCTAAAGTAGAGGATGGAAATAACTTTTTACGGCAAGTGAACGTACTTCACGATTCTATCATTATCCTCGTCACCCAGTCGCGGGCTATCGTACTTATAGTCTGATGAAGGCACGACTAGTAGTTAAGGGTATTTTAGTAAGTTTAGGCGAGTAGGTCGATTATGGTTTCTGGTTGGCGTTTTTATATTATTGTTCACCTATTTTGTTAGGAATCAATCAATAAATAAATTATCAAAGTATCGTTAGATTATCCCAATCTCCCTTTCCAATCCCTAATTATATCATGTTCTTCTCCAAATCCCTAAAGTATCTTCTATGAATCCTGAATTCAATCCCCAATACCCTTCATCCATTCATCAGATGGTATCAGAGCGGTTTCAATCCGTGGATCCGTAAGCAAATATTCGAGTTTTATGCGCAGTTGCGAGAGTACGTCGCTTGGACCGCACGGTTAGGAAAGACGGAGGTGGAACGACCGACTGAAGTCGCGGTCATGACTCCTACGCCGGCGTTAGACTCTAGCCCGGAGAAGCTGGAAGTGTTGCAGCGGACCACCGATCCTAGCACCATATCCCCCAAGATGGTTTTGTTTTCTCACGCCAACAGGCCAACAGAGAACCTCGTCGCTCTAGCTAGGGACGTATGACGAATTCCTTCCTCTCGTGTCGATCCGCAGATGCCAGCATCACTACTCAAGGCTATCTCTGCTACAGCTAACATCACGGCGAAAGAAACAGCTCGCGACGATAGTACCTCTTATGAAATCAAAATCATGTTTGATCGAGGCAAGTACGGTGTGAAGATAAATGGCGAACATCCCAGGCTTCAAAAATAACTGAACGGAGGTACGGCTATGGCCGACGCCGATCGCTGCTTGTTTGATCAGGTGGGCAGCCCGTATACAATTTGTTCTAACTTCCTCAATTATGGGTTTCGTCGATGGGAGAGTTCTATGGAAAGGGAGCCATACCACCAGATATATATGAGGAGTTTTTGAACATGAGGAGGGTAAGGTGGTGTGTGTGTCGAATATTGAGGAACGATGTAAGCAACCATGGGTTCTACGGGTACGACCATTTCAATAGAGGATGGATTCAAGAGCTATTGGATAGGGAACGCTAGCTCAGGCTGCCAATGTTATTTGATTGGGAGAAGGTGATGTTGTGAGACTAGTTGCGGTGTGCTGGGAGACTGATGATGCGGCTAAAGGGTTGGATGTGATGCCTATGAAAGAGGCTATTAATTGGAGAGTCATAAAGGATTCTTTCTCTAATAATCAATGCTATAGTGACCTATAGTTCTTCAACTAAAGGTTGCAATCTTCTGTTCCGGGAAAGAATGAGGCAACACTAGCTGAATTTATAAACATCGACAGCCAACGCTTGTATCATAAAGTGAAATTGGTGAGTGCTGTCATATATATATATATATATATATATATGAACTGTGGATGCCTCAGTGCTGCTGCGTGCATGGTAGCCAAGATTGTGTTCTCTCTGGCTGGCCTAGGCTAGGCGCCGAGCTCGGAAGCAACAGAAGAAGAGGTTGTTGAACTTGAAAGGCAGTTAAAGCTAATTAAATTTGTACAGGTCAATGGGGAAGTGAATCTCTTGGTCCATCTGGAGTCGGGCTTGTGTGGTGACATTATTAGTGGAGTTTTATTCTTCCCAACTTTGAGTCAGCATGGGAGTCAAGGATTAATGTTACTAGTGTCTATGAGAACCATGGTTGTTCGTCAATGGTTAGGTTAGCACTTAGCAAAATCACCATTGGAGCTAGAGAAGGTGGGCAATGGATGAATGATGATGCCTATGAGGAGGGTATTATGATGGAAAAGCAAAGCCAATAGGGTCGGGGAGCTTAAAAGGAACGAGCAAGTAACAATTATGGTGACGATGGTCATGGTGCACCGCTACGGGAGGGGAAAGTTAGCGGAGAAGCTGGTGGATTGTGGAACTTCATGTGATGAATTTTTGTTGAATACGATCTTAAGTTCATATTTAGCTTCATTTTCAGTGTGATTTTATTCTTGTGTACTCTCAATAGTGTTAGTGTTGATGTTTTGTTTCAACCTTGAGGTCAAGTTTTTTTTAAGGGGGGTGGACTGATGAAGGCACGACTAGTAGCTAAGGTTATTTTAGTAAGTTTAGGCAAGTAGGTCGATTAGGGTTTCTGGTTAGCGTCTATATATTGTTGTTCACCTATTTCGTTAGGAATCAATCAAAAAATAAATTATCAAAGTATTGTCAGATTATCCCAATCTCCCTTTCCAATCCCTAATTCTATTTTGTTCTTCTCCAAATCCCTAAAGTATCTTCTATGAATCCCGAATTCAATCCCCACTACGCTTAATCCATTCATTACACCCTCGTCACTTTAAACCCAACACGTGGTAGCCAACATCTAGTCGTAGCTGATTAACTAAGAGAACTTGGTGCAGAAGCAATGGTGGGGGTGGGAGAAAGGTTTGGTGCAACGGTCGCCGAAGAACCCCTCATCACGACACACCATAGTAGAGTTGTGGTCTTTGCGGCAACCTCCTTTGAAATAAGGCATCTACATCAAACTCTGGCAGAGCTTTGACTCTCTTATGGGTACTAACAGATCGAACTACGGAAAACCATCATTCCTTCGAAAGAAAAGCCATAACTCCAATGAATATCATCTTCTACATGGTAATGGATCACACCTCTCTCTCTCTCTCTCTCTCTCTCTCTCTCTCAATACACTCTCCATGGTTCTCAGTACAGGTATATATGAAGGAAGAAACAAACAAAATTTATTTCCTTATTTTTCTTTAAATTTTTTATATTTACCATATAACACCTATCAATTTTTAACAAATCAATGAGCACCCACAGAGTGAATGAATCAAAACATGGTTTGTTTGAATTTGTTCTCCCATGTGAAGAATAAAAAATCTGGATCTTAAAGAGGACACCGTGGGTGCTCAAAGACAAGATTCTTCATCCAACAACCTGGTCACAACACGTCCCTAGGCGGACTTTTGACATCTGGCTATTGCCCCTTGCAGGGTGCAACTTTGGGATATTAGAGAAGACTGTTTTACTCATTAATTCAGGCGAAAAGTGGTGAATGCTACGATCGGTCAAGTCCTGGAAGATGGGGTCTTTACATGTCTTGAGATGAGACGAATCGATGTTTCGTCAAGGTTAAGGTGCTAATTGACTTCACCAAGCCACTAAGATCGCAACTGATGGCGGTTAGTGATGATACAGGCTGTTTTGGGTCAATATGAAGTATGAGCATCTCCCAAGCTTTTGCTTTAACTATGGAAGAGTGGGACACTCGCTTCGGGCTTGTACCTACGATCCTCCAGCCCGGAAAGAGAAATATAGCCCGCGAATGTGTACAAAAAAATTGGGGATAAAGTTATATGATGAAACTGCAGACATGCCCTCGTTCTGTGGCCCTCCTCGCTTAGTTTGGGTTAAAACTTATCCTGGGTCTCAAAGAAGCATTGTGGACAAGGCAGCTCACCGCTCGGATCAAAGGGAAGAGTGGACCGGCCAACCGAGGAAGCGGGACCTACGGGTCCCCCTTGGATAGTCTCCCATCCACTCGCCAGCAAGGATGATTAGCAATCGGCGGGAAAGGGGCCCTCGAGGATTCCTAGTCTCCCGTGCACCGAAATTTTGCTATCTTCCAGGCCATAAGAAGTCGGGAGTGAAAACTGAGACTGGCTTTTCTGTGATGCATGCTCAATCGGAGATATCACGAGTGGAAACAGCAACGACAAACAAGAGAAGGGCTTTCCCTGAACCCGACGAAGCGCTTCGCGCTAACTACAACCCTCGGAGCTCCAGGAAGTTGTTAAAAAAAGATGTTATTACCATGCACAAAACCAAGGATCTCTATGTGTCGGAACCGAATGGGGTTGAAAGGCAGCGGCGCAATCTAGTGATTGATGATGAGGACGAGGATGTGCACTGCCCGTTCCGCGTCCCCATGCAGGCCATGCCGAAATTTGTTAGCAAACAGAATCTCCTTCAAAGATCCTCTATAGAGAAGGGTAAGGGCAAATTTGTGGCTCTGAACCCAACACAGAACAATTGGCAGGGACAGGCTCGGACTCCTGCACCGAAGGCCAAACCATCTGCTCGCAAGCCGCGAAAAAAGTCGGGTATCCTCTGCCTCCGTTAGCTTCGACCCTTAGGCCCCACCCCAGCAGGCCATATAAATAAGGTCGAGGCAGATGCAACTGTTGGCAGAGAAATCTGAGGAGGAATGGGAGCCAATGTTCAAAGAGGTCTTTGATCTTCTAGTTTCCCATCCTCCTCAGATCCATCCGCCTCTCGAACAAGCTGTTGAAGGTATTATGCTCTAAGACCAAGGGAAAGCGAATCCTAAATCTCCATCATCAGAATGGTGAAGCCAGTCCGATCTCCAGGCAGAAGGAGAACCAGTATGAACTTCATAGTCGCACCCCCGCTAAAGTCCCATAGGCGTCTCGCCCTTTGTCGAAAGACTGGGTCCGGCATATGGTGGAAGATTTTGAAGCTGGCAAGGTGGAGCAAGGTGCTGCAAGGAGTGAGGGGAGGAATCAGCAAGATGGCGATTCTTTGCGTCCTGACTCGCTAAGGGGAGTTGAGGAAGTTTTGTTCGTTCAACTAAACGAATATGGCACTAATCTGACTGGAATAGGGGTGCAAGGAAGGAAATGAAAAATCTAAGAAATCGAAGGTGATATCCTGGAGAACCCTTCTCCTAAGAAACAATTTGTTGAAGAATCAGCTAAAAATGATGGAACGGTGGAGGAAGCCAGCCTCAAATAATCTTAATTGAATAAATGAGGCTTCTAACATGGAATGTGAGAGGAATTGGACCATCACTCACATTCTAAACTGTTGTAGGGTTAGTTCATTCGAATAAACCAGAGCTTGTATTCCTTTCAGAAACAAGATCGAACCGAAGAGTAGTCTCACGTCGTATGCGGGGTTTGGGTTTTGATATTTCTCTTTTTTTTTTTTTGTAGATGCAATTAATGCATCGGGTGGGTTAGTTGTAGCTTGGTCCCCCATAGTTGATGCTTTGCGGTTTTTTCATTCCAATTTCGCCATTTGTGTTCGCATTAATGAAGGTGATTTTTCTTATGTGGTGGCTTGTGTTTATATTAGTTGTTCTAATTCAATAAGAGCCACCTAGTTGGCTCATCTTCGTAACATTTGTGAAAAAATCCAGTTACCCCATGTGGTAATCGGTGATTACAATGTAACGTTGCATGCTCATGAAAAGGATGGAGGTAATCCGTGGAATGTGGCCCAATCAATTGACCTTCGAAATTTTATTCATGACCTGGGTCTCCAAGACCTGGGTATCAAGGTGCTTCTTTTACGTGAAAAAATAAACGTATGGGAGTTGCTTGCATCCGCGAAAGGCTAGACAGGGCTCTCTATTCCCAAGGTTGAATTGACTGACTTCTAGACACTCTGGTCAAACACTTCACTACCTAGGGATCAGACCATAGAGCCTTGCTCCTTTCGGATAAACCTTATCTAACGAATAGCCGGCCCATGTTCAGATTTGATTATCGATGGGCTGATAATCCCGAAGTCAAAGCTATGGTGAGGTACGTTTGGCAAATGGAAATCCAGGGAACACCAATGTTCTAACTTTGGGAGAAGCATAAACAACTTCGCCATCTACTATATGATTGGAGTAGGGTGGGTACAACAAATTCTCTATGGAATATCAACACCCTCCAGGCAGAAATTGATCGCATTAAGGAAATTCATCCTATTGACTGGGATGAGCTACGGACTTTGGAAATGGAGCTGAGTAGGCAGTGGGAGGTCAAGGAAATCTATTGGCAACAAAAGTCAAGGGTCCATTGGCTTAAGAAGGGTGACAAAAATACCTTGTATATCCTTACAACTACAAATATGCCCGGCTTTCGGAATAATACTAGAGAATGGGTCTCTGAAGAGAAAGGTAAATCAGACATTGCCATTGATTTTTACCAAAATCTCTTTACCTCGGAAAACCGGGTGATGAACATTGATGAACGGGTGGCTACTCTGCCGAAATGAATGCTAGCCTCAGGACATAAGTCCATCCTAATGAAGTACGGAATATGATCTTTTCCATGGGATCGAAACAGGCCTCGGGATATGACGGATTCACGAGGAAGTTTTTCAAAACTTTTTGGGATATTGTCAGCAATTCTGTGATTGCAGCGGTTTAATCTTTCTTTATCACGGGTAGGATGCTCCATAGCTTTAATCATACTTAGCTAACTCTAATCCCTAAAGTGGATAATGTCGAGACCATGAGGAAACTCAAGCCAATTAGCTTGTGGCAATTCGTGTATACAGTGATAACTAAGATCATGGCGGAAAGGCTGGTCTGTCTCTTACCACAAATCATTTAAGAGGGGCAAAATGCCTTTATCCGTGAAAGGAAAATAGTGGAGAATGTCCTCCTAGGGCATGAGTAAATGCACTACTTGAAAATCAAAACAAAAGGCAAGAAAGGGTACATGGCTTTAAAGGTTGACATGGAAAAGGCCTATGATAGAGTCGAATGGCCTTTTCTCCTTGTTGTTTTGGATAAACTGGGTTTTAACTCTAGCTGGCGAGGCTGGATACAGGAATGCCTCCGATCCACATATTTTTAGGTCTTAATGAATGGCACTCCCTTGGGTTTCTTCTCTCCCTCAAGGGGCCTTCGGCAAGGGGATCCGCTTTCTCCACTCCTGTTTGTGATTTGCACGGAGGAGTTTGCGGCACTCCTTCGAAAAGCTATTTCTAAAGGGAAATTAGAAGGGGTTAAGGTTGCCCCTAGAGCTCCTTAAATATCCTATATGTTTTTTTCATATGACTCTTATTTGTTCCTTAGGCTGGCTCCAACCCAAGGAGCTGAAATGCTAAAAAGCCAAATTTGGCTTTTTTTCCTCCTCCAACCCACAAAAAAATGGGAAGCAAAATATGGGTATTGGGTTTTTGGGAGTTAAATTTGGCTGGGTTTTGGGGTGGGAAGTTAAAATTGGCTGCCAAAAAGGTTGTACAACGTCTGCTGGGAATTTATTTTGTCAATTTGTTTTAGATTTTTTTTCTCTATTCTCATTGGTTGTTTGTGATTGAATTTGAAATATAAATTTGAAATAATTGATGTAGTGACGAAAAAACGGTCATATTTTAACGGCCATAAAAAATGGTCATATTTTAACAGCCATATTTTTTCTTATATATTACAGCACTCTTCATAGATTTCTCTTCACTCATTCTCAGGCATAAATCGCATTCTCTCAAAATTCAATTGTTATCGTCTCTCAAAATAGAAATATGACAGGCAAGAGAGGACCTAATTGGCGTCCGAATGAAGATGAAATCTTGTGCAGAGCTTGGGTGTCGATATCAGAAGATGGAGCGGTTGGCACCAACCAGAAGTATACAAGGTTGTGGGAAAGAGTGGCGGTAGAACATCAAAAATGGGATCCTACTACAATTCGTACTGCTATTGCAATGGAATCCCGAATGAGGATTATTTGCTATCACTGCAATGCTTGGAAGGGAGTTTTGCAAAGAGCACAAAGGCATCAATCGAGTGGCACGAACCAGTTTGATGTGGTATTCTTTTGGACCCTCAACTTGTGTATTTTCTTATTTTTTATGTGTCAAAAAAAACTTCTCTAACCCATGTATTACATATTTTATTAGGAAAAGGAGGCAAGAGCAATATATAAGCAAGAGAATGGGAACAAGGCTTTTGATTTTGAGCATTGTTTCGACATTCTTCGAAATTGTCCAAAGTGGTACTCCAATCCTGACCTGCTTGTTAGTCCCATTCCACCTATGGGGCAAGGTTCCCAAAGTTCTCCAACAGGTTTTGGTTCTCAATCATCTCCCGTGGAAGGCCTTGATGACTTACCAGATGAAGGAGCTACGCCTTTCGTGTTGACTCGCCCTGAAGGACGCGACAAACAAAAGGCAGCAAAGAAGAAAGGTAAGGTAGTTGCTGAATCGTCAGACATATACACTACTCAACTGCTAGAGTTTGGTAATGATATGAGAGAGAGGCAAAAGTCGAGGATGGAGTACGAAAACAGAAAAATGAAGTTCCAAGAGAGGAGACTAGAGCAGGAGAAAGAGGAATGGGCATACAAGAGGCAAGTGAGGGAGCGTGAAGCGGAAAAGTGGGCTGTGGAGAAGAAAGAGAGGGAAGCTGCAATACTTCAACAAAATGTAGCTATTCTGGAGAAGGATTTGTCAAAGATGACACCAAGAAAGAAGAGATTTTGGAGGCGTAAACAAAATGACATTTATGGGTACGATCAAGATGATCCCAACTCTTATCCAAGTGATGGCGGAGATGGAGATGGCGATGCAAGTGGTGGAGGAGATGGCGATGAAAGTGGTGGAGGAGATGGCGATTACTTTCCTGTCATGGATTATTAATTAGAAGAAGATCCTATTTGTGAGCATTGTATACTGGATTTGGATCGAAGTAATCCCTCATAAGACGTCGATTACATTCGACCCTCTCACGATCAATGTGACGTCGGCTTGTAGTTTGACGGCGACTTGATGCACCTTCAGCCAGCCTCCGACCGATCAAACTCAAACGTAGGTGGTGAAACCTTTCGTACTCTTCGTTTTCTTCTTCTCCAGACGATGAGCTATCTGAGATACTCATGATGAATGTGTTTGTTTTAGAAATGGGAAGAAGTTTTAGTTGAGTTGATGAAAATGAAGACCTGTCATTTATAAAGACATTTGGTGCAAAAAATGACAAAAAAACGGTCGTAAAGTAACGGATACAAAAAAACGGTCATATTTGGAGTGGTCCCGAAGTTTTAACGGTAATATTTTAACGACTATTTTTTGAAAAAAAAAATTATCTCGGAATTTTAAAAAAATTACATCGAAAAATTTGTATTCAAAACTAATAACTAGTTATGAAAAAATTAAAGTGAAATATAAAAATTAGAGGTCAAATAAGTATGGTTTATTGAAATAAATTGAAAAATGGAAATGGAAAGCTAAATTTAGCTTTTTATAGGGTTGGAGTGAAAAGTGGGTTTGGGGAGCTAAAAAGCCATATTTGGCCATTTGGGGAGCTAAATTCCCCTTTATGGGTTGGAGTTAGTCTTAGTGGCCAAATGAATAACGTGGATATATCGGCAGTTTACTTTGGTAAGAATATTGCTCTGCCAATCAGAAGTTCTTGGCCTAGATATTGGGTGTTGGGGTTGTGTGGGTCCAGGATAAGTATTTGAGACTGCCTACCCTTATAGCCCAATCTAAAATGGCCACGTTCCGATATTTTGAAGAGAAGTTGTTAGAACGACTTCGGTCGCTTTAGCTTTGTCGTTGCATGTTATGTCCTATTTCAAGTTACCTCTCTCCGACACAAATCAGGCTTTGTTAGCCAAGATTGGATGGTGTATCCTAAATGAACCTCTCTCCCTTTTAGCTCAAGTGTACAAAGGGAGATATTTTCCTAATGTTACTTTACTCGCTACTAAAGCTCGCTCTCGTCCGTCTTGGGGATGGCAGAGTATCCTATATGGTCGGGAGCTTTTGGGGAAGTGGCTTCGGTGGTAAATTGGTAATGGAAAGAAAGCTCCTCTCCTCCGCTCCAAATGGATTCCCCGGCTTCATCCTCATACACATGTGTTTAATACCCGAGTTTTGTCTGAGGGTGGCAACATGCTGGTGGCAAAGGTCCTTAGCCAAGGGCAAGGACGTTGGTGCAACCAAAAAATTAGCCAATGATTTGATCCGGCAACATGTCGTGCCATCAAAAAAATTCCTCTTTCCCAACAGAAAGTTGAGGATAGACTAATATGGCATGACACGGCTTACGGGATTTTCACTTTTAAATCAGCCTATCGTTTTGTCGTCTCGTTGGACAAGCAGAATGGTCAATGGAGATCCTTGGCTAGTTGGATGGATAGGTCCAGCTGGATGCATTTGTGAGAGGCCAATATTCCACCCAAGTTGAAAGTGTTCTTATGGTACATTTTCAATCACATCCTGCCTACGATGGAAGCTCTAATAGAGAAAGATGTCCCGGTACTTGCTCGTTGCCCAGTTTGTTGGGCAGAATCAGAAACAATGGAACATTTGTTCCTGGATTGTCCTGTGGCTAGGGCTTTATGGGATTACTCGGGACTCGAGCTTCTAGGTCAAAAGGGCTTCCGCGCCACACGTTCCTGCTCTTCCTGAAAAAGTTGATGGTTCTCTTTGATCAAGCTCAACTGTTTATGCGGGTGGTGGCAATCTTTTGGAGGATCTGGCGGTCACGAAATTAGGTAGTCTTTGAGGGCAAACAGTTTGGATTCCCAGCTTTGATGTGACAATTTAACCAACAATACCATGAATAGATTAGTTTTCCTGTCGACCATGGTCTTCGTGTGCTCCCCCCCTTTTCCACAACCTCTGGGTGTTGTGCATCTGAACTCGATAGTCTATATGTGGGATGGGGCTACGAAATGTGGTTCCCATTCGCAGGCGGGATGGTTATTTTGGACGAAGAGGGTATCATTCTCTTGGCTAAAGGGGTGCAGTTTCAGGATATCGATGATCTAATGGTCGTTGAGCTACTAGTTTTCCGGGAGGCTATTCTCTTCTGCTTAAGCCATGGATTTCTGGTGGTGAGGTTTGAAGGTGATGCGCAAGTGGTCATTAAGAAGATCCTTCGTGCTGATGCCCGCGATACTCGGATGGGGGCCATTCTGGAGGAGGTCGTGCAACATTTTGCTAATCATAGTGGGTACGATTTGTAGGTCGGAGTACCAATAGGGTAACCCATTTGGTCGCTAAGAAGGCCCTTTGTTTGTATCTAACTATGTCGCTCTTTTGATTTTTTGGCTTGATTGAATTTCAGGATGTAACTACCTATTTTTCCAATCAATATATCTGATTATCTTTTGTCAAAAAAATAACAAATCATATCTTATTTTTTCCATTCAAATTGTATTATCGTACAGAAAAATAAGATTAATTATAATCTACAACATAAAAAGCTGGTTTTTTAGAACCCAATTGAATTTTCAATTAATATTAGATTGATTTGCATCAATTTATGATTAAAAAAAATATGACAACTAGACCGATATAATTTGATCCCGTTTTAGCTTTTATAAAAGGTGTTTCTAATTGAAAATTGAAAAATATAATACTCTAAAAAATTTGAGGATTTAACTGATAAACTATTAGAAATACATTTTAATATCAATACGATGTTAAATGATTAAAAAGTTATCATTTATATATACAATAATATAAATGGAAAATTATACAATAATATAAATGACTAAAAATTTATCATTTATTTATGTTTTGTGTGCTTATTTGTAGATTCACCGATGCTCTTATTGAAGTCTTATTTGTGTGCTTCAGTCAAGACTTATTTGTAGATTCACCAATGCTCTTATCGAAGTCTTATTTGTGTGCTTTCAGTCGAGTCTTACATGAATGGAGGTAGTCGAGCGCTCCCATATGTCGCTTGATTGAATTTCTCATCTCCCATGTTGTTTGGTACGTCTTTCCTCCATTAGCGCCATTAACGCTCATTAAAGTAAAAAATTTAAAAATTTAATAATGATAGAGAGATAGAGTACTTAGCTTTATGTTGAAGAAGCGGAGCTTTAAAATAGCACGTTGTACCTATTAATCACAACTTGAGTTGTAACTTACTGGTCAGTATGCTTGTCTAGCGGAAGAGTGGCGTGGTTTCAAGGACTGGCGGCGACGACATTATTTTTGAAGAGTTTCGTGCCTGTTGGGCCAGAAGCGGCGCCGGCCGCGAGTTTGGATTTGTTGGCCCATGTGACGCTCGTCGCACCCAAGCGGACATTGAAGGCGGGCCGCCAGCTGACTGAGAAGAAGACGACCGACGCCAATGAAATCTTTCTTTCGCTCAAATACTGATATTCAATCTTTTTCGATTAATTATAACCGCCCAATCTCCCCGGTCGCCGTGATTACTCTTCCTTTATGCATGGCGGTGGTGGCTATGGTAATTGACTGGATGGTAGCGCGGTCAGCTTAATCTGGACGAGTTTAATTACTCTCGGCCGCCAAGGAACCGCGTATCAAGTGGAAGTTGGACGACATCGTGGCGGCGAAGGGGAGAGTGAGTAGAGCTTCGAGGAATAGTAGTGTGAAAGAGAGTAGTGGAGAGTTGATTGGGCGCGAACACATCGTGGTGGGAGATGAAGCACTGGGGCTTCGAATCTCGGCGAAGGATCGTGACTGCTGCAACGGTAGTGAGCTTTAGGTTCCCTCCCTACGTCGTCGGGTTGCATTGCCATTGTTGTGAACGGAGGCAGGGGAGCTCGCTAAGCTTGAAGCGCACCACCACGCAGAGAATTTTGGCAGAGGTCTAGTGGCAGCGTCTACTTTTCTGAAACGTCTCCAAACTGGCATCCACTGCACAATTTTGCCTCGATAAACACGCTGGTCCCAACCTTCTGAAAGAGAGAGCAGCTTCCTTTGTCTTTTCATACTGCTCGACTACAGGAGCTACGCAAGTGGGAGAAGGACGATGTCGACATGACAGCTACATGACGGTAAGGTTTCTCCCTCGCCGGATGCTCGATGTCGGGAGTAAAATTACCGGAATCTGGATTGCTTTTTTGCTTTTCTTGTTCTTCGGCGACATCAGCTCTTGCTTTTGAGAATAGATGTGAGTTTCTCTTCGCCGAAGGTCCAGCGCAGGGGCACAGTCGCCGAAGATCTGAATTGCTCTGCTGCTTCTCCTATTCTTGGGGGATTTTGATACAAGCTTTGATGCTCCTCCAAATCCTTTTACGAACCTTGCTTTTTTTTTCTTCTTCTTTTTCTTTGTTTTCTGATTTCTCCAACCGGAGTTGCTTCTTCTCTTCCTTCCGACGAAGCTTTTGTGAGCTTCCGATCACAGCAATCCCTCCCTCTAGAAATCGAAGAAACGAATGTGAAATCACGCCCCACGGTGGGCGCCAATTGTTTGTACCATCTAGCTCCAGTATGAACAATTATATTTGTTGGTGTGGGGTTGACTCACGATCCGTTCGTCTGATCTCGTCGGGAGAGAAGAACCTGTGAAAGAGCCGGGGATGCCCCCCCCCCCCCCCACCACCACCTGGATTAAGCTCCGACAATCAAGTTAGTTTTAAGTTTCAGGAGAGAGTTGAGAGAATAAAGTAGAGAGATAAGGTGTAGAGAGATAGTGAAAAGTATAAAGCGAGGAGAGAGGAGATGTCCCCCTCCCTTGGAGGATTTCATACCTTTATATACTCGTAGCGGGTTTCGAGCGTCATACGTTATCGATTGGACGCGCTATCACTTAGTTTGTGGCAAAAATTTAATTTTGAATTGCCATAATATTATGTATATATAGATAGATATCAACTTCAAGCCAACACAACTTTCGTAAATAGCATTATAATGTTCATCTAGAGAAATACATGCAAAAGCTTACAAATTGAAACCTATAATGTTAATACCAACACAAACTACCTGACCAGCATTGCGACAAGAAAATTAAAGGCAGCCCCAACCTTAAATTTAGTTTGCTGGTTCTTGATTTACCACTTCTTTCCACGCCCACGCCCGCGGCCTCGACCTCGTCCGCCTCTTCCTCCACCACCACCACCTTTGCCTCCGTGACCTTTACCACCGCCACCACCATGTCCTTTCAATTCCTCCGGCAAGGGAAGAATGTTGTCAACACACTTCCTGAAGCTGAAATCCTCCACAGAATCATCTTCCCTGACAAGGAAGAAGCACTGACTCTTCCACATCGGGTGACCTCGAATTTGAAAAGATCGTACCCCAGAACCAATCTTTTCCTCCGACTCTTGATGACCCTTCTTCAGCAATTCCATCAAAACCAAGTGCTCATACTACAATTGCACCAAAAGCAAACAGGTTACATACATATATATCACAGTCCAAAAAAGAGCAAGCAGCATCAGCATTCTGATAGACAAATTCAGACTGATAAACGCAATCCAATCGACCCAGAAACTGAATATCTACAAAGGTTAACAGCATGAAAAGCTTGCAGTTACGCATCAAAACATGACAGCACAATTAACCAATCCGAGCTTAAACACGCCCTCAAGAAACAATCTTTTGACTGGACAGCGACACATCTGAATCCACATAAACTATTTAATGTACGAGGCAGACATACACAGCCAGTTTGCAGAGCAGTTTAAGGCACTGATAGACTTTGGTGAAGACTAAACATTACATTCTTCCACTAGATCAGGATTCAGGAACCTAAGTCCACAACTAACAAATAACACACACCAGGGAAGACTAAACCTTTGGTGAAGACTAAACCTTTTTAAATACTCAATTTGACTAACACACACCAGGGAACGAATCAATTATCAAACTGAACAAGCCAGATTAATTGAATAGCTTTCTGGAGTACTCAACTTCCCTATCAAGTGGGTAAGTTCTAGGAGCGTATCTGCCAATGGGATGCCTACATTAGATTGCTACATCAACATATATGCTTTGAAGATGTCATTACATCAATGCCGTCAGATACAAATTATCTGGGCAGAGTGCAGTCAGTCATATAAATGTTGGGAAATCTTGTAGCTCGCAGAAACGAATAGTGAAAACCAAACACACAATGATCACATAAGTTCTGACATTGTAGGCAAATCAAATAAGAGCGAAGGGGGACCCAAAACTTTATAATGGAAATATACCTTGTTCAAATCCAGATTACTTGGCCAAGCGTGAAGCAACTTGAAGAAATAATCAAACATCTGAGTGGCAGTTCCGAATTTCTTCGGACCCAAGCTGACAATCACTTCCTCGGAAGACTCTAGCCCAACTTTTTCTTCTTCTCCTGCTGCTGCTGCTCCCTCATTTTCTCCTTCCGCTGACTTCTCCAACTTCTGCTTCTTCGTGTCATCGCCGTTCGCACCTTCCTGCTCCTCCCTGGCTCGCTTCCCTCCTTCGTTCGATTCGGAAATCTCCATGTCTGCGCCGGCTGAGACGACCGGCTCTGGATTGCTTACAGCCGCCTCGGCTGCTGTCCCTTCCGCCATGATCGAAAAAAAGAAGAGAGGAGAAGGGGGCGGCTATTCGAACAGTAACAGTTCGTAGTTGGAAGAAGATGGTCTGGTTGAAGAAGACGGTGGAAGTAGTGGAGTGGTGGAGCGAGGGAGGGTTTCTGAGGGGTTTTCAATAAGACGATGGAAGTATTGGAGTCTGTGGAGTGGTGTAGCGTGGGACGATTTTTCAATTCTCAATGCTAATGCTAAGTTTATTATTATCGTCTTAATTTATAATTTAAAATTATTAAATTAATTTTAATTTACTAAATAACAATCACAAAACTAACAACCCTAAAACCCATTTTTTTATAACCTACCTTCATCTTCTTGTGGGAGGAGTTAGAGTGCTAACTCCATAGGGGATTAGCACCATCCTAACTATCATTCATTTTTATGTTTAATATAATTAAAGAAAGGACAAATTAGAAAATTACGAATTGATTAAATTTTTTGAAATTTTTGCTGATTTTTAGGGGGAAACAATCTCGGCTCTCTCTCTCATCAGTACTATCATACGTTCTATCTCCCTCTCTCTTTATAATTTATATATATCACATGTGTCCATTTTTTTACCGTGAAAGGGATCTTTGAGAATGGTAGTGTTTTCATGGTAGTAGAAAATTCAAAATCGAAATATTTTTTAAGGTTTATATGATTTTCAGTGGAATTTTAAAGTTAGTAGTGATTTTATAGCTACTAGTAGTTATTTAGCGCGTTTGTGGTAGTGACTTTAAGACGATAGTGAGATTCGGTGCATTAGTAGCATTTGATTTGATGATTTGTAGTAGTAAATTGATGATATATAGTAGTGATTTTATTATTTGTAGTAGTGATTTATGGTTTTTTTTTTTTTTTGACGGTAGTAGTGATTTATGGTTATTTGTAGTGATTGAGCACGTTTTAATTAGTAGAACAAACAAATTTTAATCAAGATTACTAATAGGAACATGGAATAATTATGTCTATCCCCATTGATTCTAGTGATTTTCTGCTGCGGAGAGGTTGCCAAACACTACAATTTAAACATTCAACTGGCAAATCACTACTACAAAGGAATGTGAAGACAAATAACAATAAATCGCTACTAGTAATTAAGAAGAATCTCTATTTAGATTTTGGAAGAGAGGGAGAGAGAGAGAGGTCGAGAAAAGAGATGCGGCTAAGAAAGTGGGTTGTTTAGATTTTAGAAGAGGATTATATAATTAAGGTTTAGATAAAAACTTAATTAATTATCACCCTAGGATTTTTAAAATTTTATTAACGGCAGATAATATAATTAGCACCGTACTAACCCTTTAGGGGGTTAGCAGGCCATCCCATCCCGGGTTAGCACCGTACTAACATTCTAATCACCGTTCATTAATTTTAAGTAACTCTGATGATGGGAATTAATGAAAGGTATATACGATACTTTGTGAAATTAAATCTAATCAATAAATTAAATTTTAAAATAATTTTCTTCTCTCTTATAGAGATTTTTTTACGTGAAAATAGTACTAGAAAAATACAATCAGAACATAGTAGCAAGCAATTATGATGTCTTAGAGTAGTGTTTTAATACAAGTATAGTAGTTATTTTAATCTAGTTAGTAGTGTTTTACTTGATTTTTAAGCAGTTATTTTGGTGGCTTATAGTAGTGTTTTTTATATAAGTACTACTAGTTATTTTAATTTAATTAGTAGTGTTTTACCGATTATTAAGTGGTAGCCGTCGCCGACTTTTAGTAAAATCACTACTGGATAATGGAAACCACTATTACAAGATGCTACTATACAATCACTACTAATATTATTGTTCAATCACGTTAACTCGAAAGAAAACCACTACTGCACAATTATTGGAGGGAAACACTACTAAGGAAGAAATTTAAGAAAAAAAGCACCACTAGTTTTCCTACCCCAATTCAGATCTACTATACAATCCCTAAGAAGAAAACACTATTAGATCTGTACTCGTTCGTCACTTCTAGCCAACCAGCCTCGCTGATCCATTATGTTGCTCCTGACATAGCCGTTCGGATTTGATCGACGATGACCCCAAATCTGTTGTACAGGGACATCGACGAGCATTGGAGAAGGCATATCTGAAATCTACCTTTCTTTACACTGACGAAGGTGTAGACAATGGAGGAAGAGACAGTGATGTTGTTGTCGCCAGCCTCCTCGATCACCATCTCCGACTACCATTCTTTTCACGTTGTTGCCTACCTCCTCTATCGACATCTCCGGGCTTGCTATTTGCCGCCAACCAAATTGCTATTTGCCGCCAACCAAAAAAAAAAAGTATATATATGCATCTTTGGTTAAGGAGTTTCACAATCTACAACATATCCAACTTTCAGAGAACGTATTTAATCAGAAAAATTCAACGCTCGCCGGAAAAGTCGTCGGAAAAGTCGCCGGAAAATCATCGATGAAAAAAAATGTATATATATACATCTTTGGTTAAGGAGTTTCACAATCTACAACATATCCAACTTTCAGAGAACGTATTGAATCAGAAAAATTCAACGCTCTCCGGAAAAGTCGTCGGAAAATCATCGGGAAAGCCTATCCTCGACATATAATGCGTACACGCATCCATGAATCATCACTAACCATCAGACAATGTGGGCAAAGTGCTACACGAACCATGTGTTTCAAACCCTAAACCCTAAGTGAACCCTGAACCTTAAACCCTGAACCCTAAACCCTTTGTTGATGTGACTTGAATCGGACTATCAGCCGCTACGACTGGTAATCGGGGGTCTCGCTGACCCACATGGAGAAGTACTATAAATACTTCGTGTTAGTGAACTACGTAAATCGTGTGTCGTGTTGCAATGCTCTATTTATATGTTGTTGTTTTTCTAGTTGTATTTTTAATGACCCTAGTGTCATTATGAACTTATGAATTTGATTATGGATTTCTAGCGAGTTCGGGGTCGATTGGACGAAGATCGGGCGCGAGGCAAGTCAATCGTCGGTCGCCGGCACCGTTCTTCCGTCGTCGGCTAACCTCCCGTCGCCCTCAATCGTCGGAAAACAAGTAAGTTTACTTTTTCCGGCCAGTTTTCCAGCGAAAAACACGGCGGGCCGAAAAAAAATTGCGGCCCGAACGTCGCCGAGCCGAAAAAAATTTGTGGCCGGGACGACGGCCGGCCGAAAAATTCTTTCGGCCCGGCGACGCCACGGCCGCATATTTTTTTCGGCCGGCCGACGAACACGCCGCCGGAAAATTTTTGGCCGGCGTGTTCGGCGACCGGCCGAAAAAAATTCTTTCGGCCCGACGTCGCTCCGGCCGCAAATTTTTTTCGGCCGGCCGACGAACACGCCGCCGGAAAATTTTTGGCCGGCGTGTTCGGCGACCAGCCGAAAAAAATTTGCGGCCGTGGCGTCGCCGGGCCTAAAGAATTTTTCGGCCGGCCGTCGTCCCGGCAACAAATTTTTTTCGGCTCGGCGACGTTCGGGCCGCAATTTTTTTTCGGCCCGCCGTGTTTTTCGCCGGAAAACTGGAAAACTTACCGGAAAACTGGAAAACTGGCCGGAAAAAGTAAACTTACTTGTTTTCCGACGATTGAGGGCGACGGGAGGTTAGCCGACGACGGAAGAACGGTGCCGGCGACGGAGGCACTGGGAAGGAAGGGAAAATTCAAAATTTAAATTTTTTTTTTTTACCGGCGACGGAGGCACTGGGAAGGAATAGAAAATTCAAATTTTGAATTCTTTTTTTTTTTTTTTAGTTGGCGGCAAATAGCAATTTGATTGGCGGCAAATAGCCGTTCACCTCCGGCATACCATTCCTCCAGCGTCGCCGCTTACCTCCATGATGGATCATATTCGTGTAGACAGAGGGGAAAGAGGAGAGATGGTTTGTGTAGAAAGATGAGGGGAAAGAGGAGAGGCGGTCGTTAGTGGGGAAGTGATAGGAGGGTTTATATATTAGGATTTGGAATAATATTAATATAATATCCTCTAATTAATTCTAACTCTAAGATTATTATTTTGATTTAAAAGCTATTAGGTCAGTTAGTATGGTGCTAGACCCTTAAGGGGTTAGCATCTAATCTCATTCCTCTTCTTCTAACGAGAGCCGCCATCCAAACCACCTTCGCCGCCAAGAAAAATGCACTTCACTCCAAACCATTTCTATCGCAGAAAAACTGTAGTCCATAAGTCCTTCTGCCGCCGACTAAGAGGGCTCCAATTGACCATCCTTTGTCCTAACGCTGCCGGACTCCCAGCAAGTACTTCTCTGTCCTGATCGACGTCTTCCCTACTCCCCTGTCGGCGACTTTGTTCCAGATGACTGTCAGACTCCTCCTCCGGCCGTTCCTTCTCTGTCCTGACGCGTCGTCACTGCTCCCCCAGTCGGCTTTTGTTTGGGATAACTATATATATAATCTATGTGCTCAAAATAAAGAGGGGGTATTTGTCCTGATAATTAAGCAGGTTTAGATCCCATTCAATTGACATGGACTGTCGGCGGGTCAAGGTCGGCGGTGTTTGAAATCGAAATCGTAATTAATGTCAAATTGTTTGGACGAGGTTTTGTTTATTAGAATAAAATATATTTAACAATAAAAAATAAAAAGGATAAAAGGGTAATAACAATTTGTAAATTACGCAATTATCATTAAGCTAGGGTGACAATTAGCAACTCCCTTTTTCAAATTTCTCTCGACCTCTCGTTGAATTTCTATTATGTCGCCCTAACTATTTGAACTAGTTTAATACCCGACGGCTGGTCGGATGTATATCATTTTATTTATTATTATTTTGTGTTAATTAATTTATTAATATTTTAAATGAATTGGAATCTTCAAATAATTTATTTATGATTTGAAATTAATATTTGTACTACTTGTTGATTGTAACATTAGTAATAATAAGTTCATAATATTTTTTTTGAGCCGGGTATAAATAAAATTCAAATAAAATATTAATATGATAAATCAAACACAAAAATACATTTAATGATAGTTAACAAAAGTGCATCAAATACAATATATTCTAATTTGTTTTAATGTTATTAACTCGTTAGTGATTTGGGTTACATTCCCAATAATGAAATTTTAATCAATAAAAAAAGTGGGGTACAACTATGAAAATTATCTTTTTCGATACATTCATGAATAAGAAAATTTAAAATAGGGAAAAGTTTACATTTAAGGATGGAAAAAATTTTAAATGGAGAAAATATTTAACAAGAGTAGTTCACTTCCTATAATTTTCTTATTTTCTCATATAGAAAGCTCATTAATATGCAATTCATCCCTTGGTTGGTAATTATTTCCTCTTATATAAAAATTGTATTAATGAAATCATGTTCTAAATATCATATTTCCTTTTTCTTTTCTTGATCGTTTAAAAACCTATTGTTTTCTTTTACTTCACCTAATTTTAAATAGGGTATAAACTTCACATCATTTTAAATAAGCTATCATCGTCGGACTCCACATGACGCGTGAGCTGGGCGCCCAGAAGGCGCATGTAAATTGTGGCTCAGCCATGGTGGTTAATCAATTGAATGGGGTTTTCGAGGTCAAGGAGGAGGCGCTCGAGACCTATGTTCAAGCAATAAAAGAGAAAGGGTGCCTAATTCAGGGAAGTGGTGTTCACGCATGTCCTGCGGGAGGAGAACGCCCACGTTGATGCGTTGCTAAAATTAGCCACCACTCTAGACTTCACTGAAGAAAGGAAGGTCATTGTCACAAGAGAGATGCTGCAAGAGCACCTAATCGCAGTGTTGAGCAGTTGGGGCGAAGATGATGGTTAGATGGCGCATATAGAATTGTTCTTAATCCAAGGCATCGTCCTTGACGATTCTAAGGAAGCGTGGCGCTCCGCTGGAAAGCGGTCCGGTGCTCTATCATCGAAGTCCAACTATACACTAGATCTCACTCGCGTGCATACCTCTGATGCTTAAGTAACAAGGAGGGTGAAGCGGCCATCGAGAAGGTACACAGCGGAGCCTGTGGCATGCATGCAGGATCGCGAAGCTTGGAGAAAAGTTACTACGACAAGGGTACTATTGACCGACAATGAGAAAGGACGGGAAGGTACACATCAGCACTTGTCCCCAATGCCAAGTGCACGCCAATGACATCCATATCTCAGTGGCACCGATGCAGCGCAATGTGGGCGTCTGGCCTTTTACTCGATGGGTATGGATCTCCCAGGCCCTTTCCCCAAGGCACCTAAGCAACTGAAATACTTGATCGTCGCCATAGACTATTTCTCCAAGTGGGTTAGGGTTGAGCCATTGGCATCCATCACTAAGTCCCAGGTGCAGAAAGTTCACTAAGAAAAACATATTCACCGGGTTTGGATTGCTCGAGTCCATAGTCACCAATCATGGCAAGCAGTTCGATTGCAAGAAGTTTGTCAAATTTTGAGACGAGAATGAGGTGGTGTTGCGGTTATCATCGATAGCATACCCACAAACCAATGGACAAGCGGAGGCGACCAACAAAAGTATTCTCCATGGACTACTTACAAGACTGATGGGTGCCAAGGGTCAATGGTAGAGGAGTTACCCAGCATGTTGTGGGAGCACAAGACAACTTACAAGGTGGCTACTAGGGAAACTCCCTTCGTCCGTACCTGTGGCGGTGAGGTCGTTATCCCAGTCGAGGTTAGCATCCCAAGCTACCAAGTGGTTCACCACGACCAATTCGAAAACAAAAGAGACAGAATTGATGAGTTGGATCTATTGGATGAGCGTCGAGAAGTGGCCGTCATGCACCTTAAGGAAATGAAGAGGCAAGTCGTGAGATATTACGATAAGAAAATGCAGTCTCATGGCATCAAAGCGGGCGCCCTTGTACTCAAATGCAATTTCCGACCAGTGCCCAGGAAGGAAAGTTGGCGCCCAAATGAAAAGGTCCATACCGCGTTTTTTTAAGTCATTGGAGCTGGCACATTCAAGTTGGAGCACCTCAGTGGTAAGGCTGTGAAAAGGACACGGAATGCACAAAACTTATGACCATACCAGATGCCGCTCTCGAATATAACTACGTGACTTGTTAACCTAGCCGTAGAGGAAGTACACAGCCTCACGTTAGATGGATGTGGGTCTTTTCTCTTCTTTTTCATGTGTGCCAAAAGTGCTCAGGTTGTTCAAGCCCGTATTGTGTCAAAAGCGCCCTCCATTGCAGCACCCGTATCATGCCAAAAGTGCCCAAGTTGTTTAGCGCCCGAATTGTGGTCAATGTAAAGCGCCCAATTTTGTATTAGTGCTCAGCAATGTAAAGCCCCCATTTTGCGCCCTTCAAATGAAAATTTTGTGCGTATTAAGTTGGCTTTGGTATGATCACAAGACATGGTGACATAACTAAAGCACCCCAATTTCGCGCCCCCATTTGAGTAAGGCGCCCGGAAAGTTATGGCGATTTGAAAGGTAGAATTTCAAAGGAGAAAATAGTTCACATACTTGCATTGAAATTTCATAGTTTTGACAAGAAATTACAAAAGTACAAAAACATAAGCAAAGCAATGAAATACACAATAGATCAGTCCGCACTAGAGGTGGCGTCCCCGACACTAAGCACTTCCTTATCCTGAGAACTGCGCCCTTCCTTGTCCTGACGATTAGGCTCCTGCTCCTTTTCATCGCCTTCGTTCATTAGCACGTCCTCGATAACCAAGTTCTTCATTTAAGGGAGATCCCAAGTCAACTCCGGGTGAAGTCAATCGAGCTTCTTCTTGGGAATGCTTAGGCTAGTCAAGGACGCCTTCGCAAACAAGCCTTGCTCAGCCCCCGAACTCTCTTAGTTCTCTAGCGATGACTTCAAGGTTTTGATTTCCTTCTTAGATGCCTTCAGCTCCTTGAAATCTTTGTAGCGATGAGACAAGGCAACCATTTCATCTTCGAGGGCAACCTTCTCGTCCTAAGGAGGTCGATTTCGCTCGTCTGGGCGCCCACCTCCTTTTCAAGTGCCTTCTTCTCGGACTCCAACACCTTGGTTTAGGACGCCAAGTATGAGAGATATTCCTCGTAGTTATTTCGATCTGACCCCATCTTGGCCTCAAATTCACCTTAACACTTGCGGCGCTCCTCTTCAAGTGAATTATGCAATAAGAAACTTGTTTGGCGGCCTCCATTTGTGCCTCCTCTCGTTCTTTGATCACTTGCTCTCGGCGCATGTTCATGTCTCGAGGTCGTCCTTCATCACGAACAATGAAGAGTTGGCCACCCAATTTTCCTCCAGCGCCGTATCCATCTTGGGGGCCTGCTTTGTCAAGCAGTTAGCAGTAGCATCTACAAGAGAAATGTGTTAGATGTTTCGTAAAAGACGAACCTAAAACTTGAGATACTATAAGACAATACCTTGGCGCCCATGCGAGCAACTTCAGCCCAAGGATGATCTTTATTAACTTCCGATGGAATCTGAAGCATTGGGGAAGCGGAGAGCACCAGCCACATTGCACACCCGCGGTATATAGCGGTACGAGGTGAACAGGGTAATGCAATACGACCCAATTCATAGGGGCTGAAGGATTGGGGGAAGCTAGGCGCCTTGCCCATCTAGGAGCCCGTCGCGACGAACTCCAGTGTGAGCAGTTATCTGGGCGCCTCTCCTCTTCGTGGTCGCGGATGGCACGACCTTGTCCTTATCGGTAAGGCGAGGCTTCTTCCCCGACTGAGTTAGTGGGGCTTTGGTTCTCTTCACATGTTTGGCCAGTGAAATTTCTTCTTTTGTTACGGGACTTCCATCGGGAATGGCAAACTCGTCGACCGGCTTCGCCAATTCCACATATGGAGTAGAAGATGCCATGTTGGAGGTCTTAGCATGAGTGGTGGGCGCCTTCCCTTGCTTGGCGCAGTTGGAGGTTTCGATGGTTGTTTTTTGGTCTTGGGAGCTTAAGTAGTGGCCGCCTGAGGCTTCCAGGTGACAGCGGTGGTAGTGGGTGCCCTCCATATTCAACTTCGCAAATTGAGTTTCCAACAAAGTCGTGATGGAGGTGAAGTCAGCACCTGCGCACAGAAACAACAGGTCAATACAACGGAGTAAGCGCTCACATTAATAAAGGTAATTAACAAGCTCCCTAACACACCACCATTGTAAAATTCATGTAAGACGGGCGTGCGTACATAGTAGGACGAAGGTTAGTCCGATTGGCACTAATAAGGTCAACGCCCCTAGTTTCGTTCGGAGATAATGGGACCTCTATATTGAAGCCTGACTCGTTATCGGACGCCTACTCTATCATAAAGTCGCTGCCACTTTCGACGAAGAAGTCATGATGAGGCTTTAGGTAAAAGAATCCAGTAAACCAGCTCCTTCCTATCTTGGGACACTTTACCACAAAATTGGAAGGGATGTCCTTACACTTCTGCCGTGACAAGCAGTTATCGAGAGGCACCACATTGAAGAAATGTCAAAATAGATTGGATGTTGGGTTCACATTATGATTCTTGCACTTCAATTTGTATAGGATAACGAGCAAAATAACTGAGGTGATAGGCTCCTAAGGGTGCAACCACAGGATGCCAGAATCCCTTCCAAAATAGGGTGTGTCAGAAAGTTAGCCCGAAGCGAAGATATTCTTGGTAGATGCCAATCCACTTGGGTCTGCACAACCTGATTCTCGCGATAGGAGAGGAAGGAACATAGGTCCAAGTTTGGGGCAGTTAAAGGTTGGTAATGATTTTATCCATAAACAAGGGGGACAATGTTGACTGGTGATTCGGACCCGCCATGTTATCTGGTTTCTTTGTGAGGTGTCAATAGACGCATAATCCGGCGGCCACGTATTCTCCAATGATGTCGTCTTATATGATCCGTCCTCAAGCACATAGTAGTTCGAAGATGGTGACGACATAGGTGAAGGTCGAGGCGTCTCCACTAAAGCACAAATCGAAGCAGGCGCATACCACCGCAACGCGAAGTGAGCTGCGTCCACACCACAAAACATAAGAGTATTAAAACAAAATAAAAATAGAGGCACACATATGATTGAAAGGGAGGCACTTGCGAGGATTAGACGGGGCACCTTGATCCCTCGCAGAAGTGGCACCGGTGGTGTCGGCTAGAGGTGTGGTCATGGTTGCAGTCTTCGTCTGAAAGAATAAAGAGAGCAGGCGGCGACTAGGGGTGAACGGTAGAGAGAGTTTAGAGAGAGGTTTTTTGGGATAGTGGGGGACAAATGAGAGGAAAGAGAAGCATTATAAGATGGAGGAGCGAACACGCCTTGGAATCTGCACCTATCACCATGTGGCGCGATCACGACCCGACGTTGAAATTCAAATTTCCGGATGTGGGAGGCATGGGGGCGCGTATCTCTCAACGGTCGGGCGTCTGTCATAAAGTGGTCATTGAATGCAGGGGTGTAAATTTTGACAAAGGTTGGGCACCCGTCTTTAATGAGAATAAATATGAAGAGGTCAGACGCCTATCATAAGGGGTCATTGAATGTCGGGAAGTGGATTTTGCAGTGGTTGGGCGCCTGCCATGAATGAGCGATAACGTGAGGGGGCATTTAACGGGTGCCCATACCAAAAAGGCCTATAAAGCGGAGGTTTTAACTACATAAGTTATAAAACTGAGATTTTGTGTAGAAGCGTTTTAGTGACCCAGAAACGTGAAATAATAAGTTTTTAAGTTTTAAAGCGCGATTTTGACTACATTGGTCATATTAAGAGAGCGCACGATCAAGAAAAAACCAGTTGAAGAAAAAAATTCTTTCGAAAGGCATTAGAAGGCGCAACACTGACGGGAACTAAGAGGAAGGTCGACCAAAGAAGAAACCTGGAGGAAAAGAAAGTAGGCGTACACATGTCGGTGATAGTTAGACACTCAAGATATCAAAGTTGAGCGCCTAACTGTGGGGAAAATTGTTGATTACAAGGGGGAAAGCCCAAGAAAAAACCCAAAATGGCCCAATGACATATTTGGGAGCAACACCTTAGGGTAAGCTCACATTTGAGCCCAGAAAGGTGGTTTGGCCCAACAGGTCGAGAGTGAATAGGAAGGGGAGGCGCATAGCGATAAACCTTGCTACACTCCAAAATAATACGGATTTTCGATGGTCCCCCATGAGGCGCTTAGTACTTGTCAAAAAGGTTGCCATGATTGTCGGGGCGTCTAGCATGATGAAGGTACGGAACATTAAATGCGATGCTAACATAGGGCTGAAAAGAAGGATTTATGTTGATAGGATTATCTCACTAAACTAGAGTTTGACACTTCTCTCTCTAGAATTAGGACTAACTTAATCGTCGGAGGATTAACGGGCCAGTGCGCCCCCTCTGTGCATTTGTGTGTAGGTGAGGCATCTTGGAGCGTTAAGAAGGATTTGGGAGCACGAAGAATCTAGGGCCAAGGTGATTAGGCTCAAACAATTGGCGAGCTAGGAAGGGAAAGAGGTCGAAAACTTAGAGAATGGAGGTGCTTGGAAGTGGGGAAGAAGAATAAGTTACGAGGGAGCCTTCTCAAAGATCGAGGGAATGGATGCCTAGCATAACTGGATAATAATGGATCGAGTCGAGGCACCCATGTTCGGATAATGAATCAATTACCAAAAAGGATCTGTTTAAGATCATTGAAGACCAAGACAAGGCAATTGAGATTCTCAAGCAGGAGGTGGGGGTGCTAAAAAGTGGAGAAAGGAAAGTCTCTATCCTGGCATCAAGAAAAAGGGAAAGAACCACGAAGGTGGAGGGGGATTCTAGCCAATTCAGGTGCCCTGCTACTATTTGGCACCCGACCGATCATAGTCTCTCCCCCAAATGGTCTCGTCGAATCCCTAACAAGTCCATCTCCACTTCAAGCAGTCGTCGCCACAAGCCACAACCGTCGGAGAACGGCCTCAACCATCACCAGCAAACGCGCCTCTCCAACCTCCGAGCCTCTGAAGTCAGACCGTCGCCACCTCCTGCGGTCCAACCACCAGCCGTCGCACTCTCGCCATCGCCACTCCCGTCGAACTTGCCACCTCCAAGACTTCGACTGTCTCCACTCTCTCGCAGCCCAACCACTCACCGTTTCCACTCGCTGACTCGCTAATCACCGTCAGCCCGTCACCACTCGCCAGGTAATGCTTCCGCACCTCATATCAGATCCTCGTCTATTGCCAGTCGCCCCCTTCTGCCAATCCAAAAAAATTCCCCTATAGAGCATGATACGCCAACCCTGCTTCTTGTCTTCCTCGTCAATCACCATTACAGCCACTTGACTTCATACACCAACCCTTCTAATTCCAAATTATAGGCTCTTTGGAACCTTCTTCATATATAACTATTTAAGGCTAATTATCACCCCTAAAACTCGTCGATTTTTTGCATTGCCAAA